ATGTAAGCAGCAACATACTCTTTTCTTATTTTTTTAAACATATTAGAAAGTAGGTAAATTTATAACGACAGATTTACAACATCTGTACTAACATCCACTATAAATAATGTCATGACTGTAAAGGTTAAAAAAAAAACCCTGCATTGATCCACCAAGAAAAAAAAACATTACAATATGCATAAACTGCTAAAGGTCATTTGAGATATTTTTTCAGCTTTCACAGCATTTATAAGATGCCTAAGTAGCTGCATGTAATGAAAGCCTGCTTGGATTTTTTTGTTTTCAAGCTGAGAAAACTTAATTAATCAGGGCAAAACTGATGCTCACGACAAGCTGCTCATCTCTACTACGAGTGAGAACAAATCCTAAAAGGGAAAATCCAGTTTTACTTACTGTGCACCTGCAACTTCAACTCATGTGCACAACGATATACTGCTTGACTCAGTTTTTATTCCAGCTGCTTTTGCTTTAACAATCAAATCCTCTAATGTTTCCATTATGTTATTAACTTTGCATTGCTAGTTTCCTGTTTGTGCGCCTCCTTCTTTTAGATTCTCACTCGGCTAAAATGTAAATGAGCGAATGAATAAATGAATGAAACTGGAACGTTGGTGTCGTGTGTTTTCTCACCACTGAAGAAATGCAGAAACTCCAGAGCAGCCAGGAGGAAGAGCAGGCCGACGTCGCAGAGCACAGCGTCAGCGGGATAGGACAGCAGCAGGCCTGAGGGCAGCACAAACACTCAGTGTCTACGGCTTCATCACTAAACATCTGCAGCAGTCTGACAGGTGGTGCACTCACTCTTCCTGATGATTAAACTCAGAGTGAAGAGAAAATAGAGCACAAAGTAGACTGCGGTCAGTTTCAGCAGGATCTGCAGGGGGACAGATGACAGCTGGATGTGGAGTTAAGTATCATTCATCATCATCATCATCATCATCAGAGGGAGAGTGTCTTTGTTCTGCAGCTCACTGGCAGAAATGAAAGGATACAACACCTGCAGACCTTCCTGCACACACACAAAGTTACAATCAGCACAATAAACCACAACTGCAATAACATCGAGTTTCTGTTCAACTAAATTAATAACAGCCGAATAACTTTGTTGAAGGTTTAACACAACAGCGTGTCTGCAGCAACCATAGCAACGCGTCCTCCTACCTGCTCCTGCTGTCGCCATTTTGACTTGTTGTCTTCTCTTGTGGCCACAAACATGAGGAGTCTCCACCTGCTGGATGGAAGGTGAACTGCAACCTAAGAGGACTGGAGTGTTCACGTCAAAGAAATCTGTTTCAGGCACTACTTTGTGTTTTGAAACGTTTTAATGATTTCTTGTAAATGTGTTGAAGGTATGAATATATTTAGCAGGCTTTTATATATTCAAATAGACACTTAAATTCAAATATAGTCGGTGATTCACACCTCAAACACAAAGAGGAGGCAGAGACGTGTCATTTTGAACCCTAAATTAAATGAAAGAGTTCACTATTTACTGACTGATCCATCTGTTCCATCAGACAAAGTGTAATAGGCCTTAAGAAAAATCTCTGTTTCCGTTTAAATATTTATACATATTCAACATCAAAATAAGTATAAGAGAAGTATGTTTAAGTAAATGCCTTTAGAGGGTAATTAAATCATAGCAGGCAACACCTTTGTTATCCTAAAACTGAATGAGAATCTTGGAAATCTTCCCAGACACCCTGTGGAAGAAGCCCCTGGGGTGAATCCTACCTCATAAATCAACACAAGCTTGTTACTTATGCATAAGATTTTTCTTTTTTTTAAAAAAGGTGACATTGCTCTGAATTAAATTATAATACCAATGTTGATAATACGTACAGAAATTAGTCTTAAACTGCTTTTAAAATGCTTTGACTGTTGCAGATAAATTCAAAATTAACGGACACAGGACAAAGCACAATTGGAGACAATATAACTTCACTGTCACTGATATTTAAAATACTGATGGAAAGATACTCACATCAGCAGGGTTATCTAGTTCACACTCATGAAGAATTGTAAAGAGGTATCCTCTCACAAAAATCCTGTTTTTACATATTACAATAAAAGTCTTTTTTATTTCTTTTTCAAACAAATGCAAAACCCTCCCTGTGACTCTCATGTAAACAGTATAAATATGATAATATATGTATATCCTGATAAGACAATACAAAAGCTTATTCTGCATTTTGTCTGTCATTTCTGTAGGTTTCTTCAGACCAGTAAGATAATTCCAGTGCCATTTGAAGATTAGTAAGAAAAGAACTGAAATGAAAATTGTTTTATATCTAATTGTCAGGAAGGAAATTATCTTCTTTTCCCAACTTACTTTACATTTGAGTCATATTTTTATCAAATGAGCTGACAAGTTTCTGTTTCTCCAGCACTCACCAGCTCATGGTAACATTACACCTTCCCACACCTTGCCCCACAGTGAAGCAAACTGCTCCCAGACTGTCTCTGCTTACACATAGTTCAGAATTTGCATCAGTGCTCAGTGTGTGTGATAGAGCAGGTAACTAACGAAACAGAATACATCAGCAAACAGGCAAGAAACAAACATAAGAGTGAAACTATAATCAATGCATCTTTATATTCACATGGAGCTCATGTCTGCAGAATGTGAAAGGTCGCTGAACTCAGAGAGGATTAACACCAGAACTCTGCAGTCTGCTAATACAAAGTGTCTGGATCAGTGCTTTTCTGGTCTGCAAACTCGGCTCTAATTAACACTGTTTCCAGCAGCAGCAGACAGCTGTTGTCAGCAAAAAAAAGAGAAGAAAGAAAGAAAGAAAGAAAGAAAAGCTTTGATAAACCACACCAATGTCACCTGTTTAGTTCTATGCTCCAGACAAAATTAACAATCAAGAAAACTGCAGTTATAAGACCTGACGTTTTACCTAGAAGCTGGTGGAGACCAAAGCGGAGCAAAATGCAGAGTAAATATATGATTTGACAAGTCAGTGAAATATTATTTGTTACAAATCTGCTGGATCTGGAAGCAGGTAACTGTTTGCTAAGAATGTTCAACACTTTAAGGTGATAATCAGTTCATTTAGCTTCTCTTTTTTTGGCTTGTTCAGCTGCAGCCAAGAGGCCAACACATCTGTCAGTGCAGCTTTAAATAACGGGTGATAAATGAAACACCAATTTCATGGTAAGTGGCCATGACATCAGTGCAATACAGTACACTGCACACGTAAGTAATGAGACTAATAACCTCATTCACATAGCCCATAAGGTTAGTATATCATGACACAGTTTGTCAGACATTATATTTGTCAGATGATTACTTCAGTGTATTATGACTGCAGTGTACAGGAGGACATTTCGACTTCTATTTACTCCCTGAACTTCACATGCTTTAACCCAAACATTAGCCTACATCTAATGCTATCCTTAAAATGTATAATTATTCCTGTGATGATGTGTTTACAGGAGGAGGGTCTCCACATGAGACTTTGTTAGCAGGGTTTACATCCACGCAACATGCAAGATAGCATAAGTACGCAGCGCACTGATTCACACACATACAGTTACAGAGCTATATGAGATAAGAAATACAGAATACCAAAATGAACTGCTTTAACATAGCCAGCTGTTTCATTGTCCCCCGCAGCCTCTATCTGTTTCTCTTTCTTGCTTGTCCTCTGAAACAATCTGCATAGTGTGGCTGGAAGAACGGAGGCGTTGTTTGGGGTGAATGGAGGAAGAGCAGAGGGGTGGAGGAGCTGCAGAGGGAGATGCTCCAGCTGTGGGGGAACAAGACAACACAACAGCATCTCACATGTGGGCGAGGGGGGAGGTGGGCGTCAAGGCTGCGGGGGCTGCACACAGTGGCATTGTTATAAGGGGGGGTGGGATGCAGCTGATAAGGTTGAGAGAAATGGATCATTCCCCTCAAATCCTCCCCTCGGGAAGCCTTGACACAAAACACTCCTGTTGCTGTATGCTTGTTTAAGCTGGAGACATTTTTTTTTACTTTAAAGCCCCCACAAACATATTTTAAACCCCAAAGCTGACTGTACTAAAGTTTCACTAAAAGTTTTGGAAGATTCAATGAAATGTAATAATGAGATCAAGTGTAATCTGCTGTTAAAATCGATCAAATGTTGGAAGCCCTCCTCTTCTCTGGGCTTTATGCTGTTTTAATTGTGAAAAGTGGTTTTAAAAAAGTACATTAGAGTCAAGTTAACTTAAATTTTTTCAGGCCACAAAATCAGAAACATGCCTCAGAGGCCTCTGAGCCTCTATTAGAATAATAAAAAAACCCTTGATACAGGACACCAACACACAAGAAATCCCTGTTTCAGGACAGAAAGAGACGCCATACATAATATAGACATATAGTCAGATTTGGATTTCTAAAGTTTGTCCCCACAAAATGTATTAGAAACCAAATTTAACATAAACTGCTTTGACTGAAAGCTTTATAAGATGGTTTTTTACTAGTTCAAATTTTAAAAAAAAAAAAAGAAAGAAAAGAAAAGAAAAAGAAAGAAAATTCATTTCAAATTTAAAACAATAGAAGGAATGACTGACATTAAAGATCATTTTAATTATGGACGATTTTGTGTACTAAACATATTGAAAATCTTTCCAGTGCAGAAATCTTGAAAACGCCTGATTTATTTGACAGTTTGGAACACATTTTATTTGGGATCCTGAATGACAGATATCAGCACCAAACTCCCATTAGCTCCAAACAGAAAACATTTGGTGTTTTTGCTTGAGAAATGGCAGAAATATTAAGTTGATTACAAAAACACTTGTTTTCGTTTAATCGACTGATAAATAAGTAATGTTGTAGTTTATTCAAGATAAAAATGTTAAAATCAAAATGTATGACAAATAACCATCCGCTGAACACCATGTAAACTATGCGTCCTTACATTCACTCCAAGTTGTTCAGAGCAGCAGTCTGGCTCACATCCCTCACCTGCCTCCTCTCCTCCGACTCTGCTGCTCACATGCTGTCTGAGAGGCAAACGAGGAAGAGAATCAGCTTCAGGAACTCTGGAATCTACTTTAAACAACTTTTTACGCACAGCTTTTTCTAAAACTTTCTATTTTACGCACGACTTTTTGCCATTTTCTCCAGCGACCGATGGTGAATTCTGAGAAAGTAAACCAAAGTTTATTATGACTCTTGTGGCAGCTGAAGCGAAGGTGCGTCTGAAGGGACATTTCTTAACGTTTTTCTCGTATGGATTCTTGTTGGCATTTTAATTCAAGAAAACTGCCGAGACTGTACAGTTGTGTCCTGAAGCAGAGCGTCAGTTGGAGGCGTTTGGCAATAAGGACCATCAATTCAGTGCCAAGTGCCTGAACAGGAGACACAAGTTGTGCGCAAGCGGTGGATTTATGTGAAGTGAAACCAGAAGAAAGTCGATCATAATCTGGATTCCGTGATGTATATGTGAAAGTTTCCCCCAATCCGAATTCATTTCGTTCGGACAAGGGGAGACTTTAATGGATTTTTTATGTGGGACCCGCTAGGATGGACGTGGTAGATGAAACAGAAGCGTTACAGAGATTTTTTGAAGGTAAGAACGTTTGTTTTTTTAAATATACAGCCTACATATATGTTAGACTCACTGCACACATTATAACAAGAGCAGACAGATGTGTCTTTTTACTTTAACAACCACTCTGAAAAAAATAGTTTTTTTCATGAAGACAAACGTGTTTTTTTCTGTCACCTCCAAGTTCTACTACCTGGTGTGTTGCACATACAGTGTGACCTCAGTGTCCAAAAGCCTGATTTAAACTGTCTGCACACACTAGACATGGCAGGTGGTCAACACTAAAAAAAAAAACAAATATTTGCAGTGATCTTAAATTAGTGCCTTTTAGGAGGAAGTTTGCCAAACATAATAAACTGTTAATTTTTCCGCTTTAAAATTTCCTCTTTATTGTTCCCTTTAAAAAGCAAAATTGCAAGAATTCAGGAGGGTGCGGGGAGCAAAAGTGCTGCTGATGGGTAACAGATCACATTAAACTGGGAATCCTCAGGGGGGAGAAAAAAGAGGTGGAGGAGGGTGGGGTTGAGGGTTGAAAGGGTGTAGGAATTCAAGTCAAGATAAATGGTGTGTTTTGCAAGTGTGTTGTGGCACAATGTGTGTTGGAGACATGAGCGATGTGACTTCAGGCAGTGATGCAGTTTTTCATCATCAGATTGCAAATGAACATAAACATGAGCTCAGAAAATAAGTAATTGGTGTTTCAGAACAAAAATTATGCTTCGCAGAGGAACAATGTCATTTTTTTGTGACTTTAAATCACTTCAGATTTTAGCTGGTGAACCTACTGATATACAATAAGAGCTTGATTGGTTTCTCTGGTTATAATTTACAAACCTTCTTCAGCACATTTGAGTTGAAATGTGTGACTTGAAAGCGTTGCCTGAATGGAGCTCAATTAATCACTCACAATTTTAGTATATTCACGACTTTGTGAACCTTTTTCGGTTCCTTCTGATCTACTCCTGCAGTAAGTTTCACATCTCATCCTGTGAATGAATTCATAATTCACTTTCATTAGTTTGTTATCCAATAAACAAGCGTTCCAGGAGGAGTCAGGTGCACATAAAAACAAGCACCACATAATAAGTTATCTGTGAGGACACTTTGCACTTTATTATAGTATACACAGTGCTGACTTAAATATACACAGCCATCCATGACTGTCAGAGGTTCCTCGCCATTCTGACAGGAATTTAGTGTGTTTACATTCTTGCTTTGGGAGTAAGAGACATGTTCTTACTTTGGCTTTATTTCAGCCACTCTTGCTTGGACTAAAATGTCAACTTGTCCAGGAGAAGTAGTATACAGTAGGTGCTGACTTAGATGCTTATTTTCTTAGTTTCTTTTTAGCCATTCCAAGTGATACTGACCAACTAATTATGTCTGTTCATGAATTTAAAACTTTAGGGAATCAACTTTGAATTTAAATCAATGTAAAAACTATGTATTACCACTGAGACTTTGTGTATTATATAATTAATAATAAGTTAGAATAGGTGCCTGTTCATCTTTGGCCTTTGTCTAAAACAAACACACACTCGCTCACACACACACACACACACACACACACTCAGCACACTAATGGATTTCAGCGCTGGTAAACTGTGTTTTAATAGGATTAGTGAAATATGTATACATTCACATTAATGTACATTCCTGGCATAGCCCTGGTGGCTGTTAAAACACAATGAGGTGAGACTGGTGTGTCTCTTTGGGTATTTGGCCTCTCGCTCTCTCTGACTCCATTAGAGTGACAGTGAGCAGACGGGGCGAGGAGGTGAGATAGTGCAGACTCAGGGTGGAGAGAGGCTGGCCTGTTGAGAGAAACTAAAACCACCAACCCCATCAAAACTTGACCTTCTCCTCTCTGACTCACTTTAGACAACAAACCACGGGCAGCGTGTGCTCAAACAAAGGATCGCTTGGATTTGTCGTCGTTGTGTTGGGTTGCAAGTAATGCCCCATCCAAAGTCAACCAAATACTGGATTAAATGATAAGTCATGCTGACTGTGCTACATTTTATAGGCTCAGAATGAGTAAGAACTGAAACATTTGTGTACAATCAGAATTAAAATGAACATTTCTTTCTTCGTTTTTCTGCCACTGAAATAATTGTGGATCCAGCAGTGTCATTATAAGAGTTTCTGTGAGGCTGCACTGACACTCAGCAGAGCTTTCAATGCTAAAATCAGAATTAGAACTGCAACTAGTAATTATTTTTAACAATGACAGATGTGTGACAAATTAAAGGAAAACATAAAGTGTCTTTGTATGGCATTGAACCAGCTTTACTGCTTCTTGATTCTCACTGAGTCTCTGAACTGCACTGGAGGGATAAACACAATCATTGCATAAGATGTTTTCTCATCTGGTGTTTTTATGATGCTGGTGTAGAGGGTTGTTTAACATGTCAGTCCAAAATCTCCCCCTAAGTGTTCAATTGGGATGAGATCTGCTGATTGCAAAGGTCAAAGCATATGATTATATATTTTCAAATCAAACCATTCAGCGAGTCCTTGTGGAAGGATGTATTGTCACAATGGGAGAGACTATTCCCATCAGGATGGAAGTGTTTCATTGTAGGATAAAGGTGATCACTCAGATCAACTTTGTACTGATTGATAAGTGGTCCCAAATCATCTCTGCAAAATGCCCCCGACAGCGTAACAGAACCACTGGATCCTCTAACTGTAGAGCTCAATGGTTTCTGTTTTTCCTTTGTAGCGTCAACTGTCTGTAATTGTTGATTATTTTCATTATTAAACGCTTTAATATTTATAAAAAATGTTATAGAGAGGTGTTATAATACCATCTAAAAGTAATTTAGTTTACAGACACATAAAAGAAAACCAAAAATTCTCACAAGCTGGGACCAAAGCTTTCAATGTATTTGCAGTAATTTAGGTACAAAAAGGTAACACATAATAAAGCAGTTGTTAGAATACTTGTAGGAGTAGGTATTAAATAAGAATGCAATGTAAGTGTATGATGCTGGTGGGAATTCCACTGCTTTTGCAGATATTTGATCATAAATTAAGTATTGGACAAAGTGTTTCCTGATGGTGGGACACAGTTATAAGGATCAGTCCTCTGGGCAACATGAATGTCTGTACACTTCATGTCAGTCCACCCAGTAGTTGTTAAGACGTTTGAGTTTGGGTTGACAGCAGTGAATCGATCTACTGTCGTTGCCATCCACAGAATCACAGCATTTCAAACGATCAGTTTGAAATGAGCTCATGCAGGTGAAAGATTCTGTTGTTACCTGCCGAATGTAAAACTTTGGCCTCCTCACCAGCTGAATCTAAAAGTGGATTAATCATGTTCTTCATCCATGAACAACTCATCACCTGAGTTACTACATATGAAGATTCCCATTGCTGCACTCCCACAGTAGTTGTGAATAATGGTTGAGAAGGTTGCCGTCCATCTTGTAGGACCTGTGTGAAACGGACTGAGTTTGGATGGTTCCTCTGATTTATGGCTTCGGCAGAGAATTGCTGCTTTAGGAATGTATTGTTTTTGAGCGGTCAGGCTTACTGTGCTTTCGAGTAGGTTTTATTTTTCATTGTTGGGCCTCACTCCCATCAGTGCAGAGTGCCAACTGAGTAATCCTCGGCTAGTGAATGTTGTTTATGGTTAAACTTGACTTCATGGGACTGAGTCACTTTTTTGTGGTCATGTTTAGGTGTAAAAATGGTAACACAACTGTTGCTTAGTGCGAAGAGTCAGAGATGTTTCATTTCAAATGTCCTGATGCATTTTATTATTAATTACTAGCCACAGCTGCAGGTTTCGAAATGTTGTGTGTTCAAAATGTAGTTGTTTAAAACAAAAAATCTAAATTCTGAGGGATGCCAGTGTAAGAAAGTTCTTCGTAGTCTTCTACATGTTGTTATACGTTCTATACTTTCTTTCCTGTTTTCTTTTTTCTTTCTCAGTGTCTTCTTCTCTCATTGTCTCGCCATGTCTCTGTAACTCTGTCTCGCGCCGGCCTTCGAACTCGACCTCACATTTGAAGCGTTTCATTATTTTCCAGCCTCTCTCCGTGTCCTGGTCCCAGCCTCGTTACTCCTGTAATCTTCTGAGCCAGGTCCGCCGGTGCGACCAGTGCTTGTGTGCGACAAGGACTGTGTGTGGTAGCCTGGTACAGCCCTTTCTCATGACTGGGAAATAATCCTCATTATAACACTCTCCGAGCCTTTCTCACACACACACACACACACATACACATACACAATATGCTTTTGCATTAAGGCATGCACGCGCAGACACACACACACGCACACATTTGTTAGCCTGATCTGCGACTCTCTGGTCTAGAGAAGAAAGTCTTTCAGCCCGAGCAGGGAAACATGTGAAAAATAGACAGGAATTGTTCTTCTCATCTTCTGTTTCAGGTGTTTTCATCTCAAGGACTTCAACATGCTTTGGCTACGTGCAGGTACTCTGAGCCGCTCTGTCCGCTCTGCTTCTGTCGAGATGTGATTTATTAGTCTCTATCTGATTAGGGGCTTTCTGCTCATACCGCTTCATAATCTCTGTGTCATAGTGATGCTTCTCAGTCTTTTACCAGTAACTCTGTCTCGTAAACAAAACCCAGAAGGTCCGCAAATCTCGGGCTCTGTCAGACCTGTCTAACACTTTGTAGCGATGATTCGAAACATTCTTCTTTCGTTTACTATCCGTGTCTGTGTGTGTGTTCAACTGTGCGCTGCAGGAACGGTCCCCATGTTTCTAGACTGAGCTGCATTTTCCAGAACAGCTGAGAGATTGTTTGCTTGTGGACAGTGATTGTATTGACATTGCTGGGATCCATCAGGTTATTTTTAGTGGATTTTTGTGTGTCAGCCAAATGTGGCTGAGAAAACAGAAAAATCAAGAAATCAGGCTTATGGCAATTTTAAATGAAATCCAAAAGTGTCCAGAGATAAAGGAGAAAGACTTTCGGCAGCTCTTTCTTTACTGCAGTCGACTACCAATGTACAAACTCTGCAAATGTCACTTAATGTTCAAGCTTTTCTTCTTGTTGTTGCCTCAGTATGTTCTGTATTGATGTTCACTCTTTAAAAGGTGTATCCACTGGTGCAGCCAAGTTCATTCTAGTCTAGCTGTTTGATAATCACATGGACTTTGTTCCTTCTTCGTTAAGTTAGTCTGAAAGTGTTTAATTATTAACACGCACATGTGAGCACATGCAAATCTCATTTGGAGGCAAAAATCAGGAAAGTCAAGAAATTTTGCTAAAATGTACTGTTTGTGTTCCTTCAGAGGTTTTTTTTGTATTTACTTTTTCACTATCAGTGGTGCTGATGACAATTAAGTCAAGGCAGTTTAATTTAAATTTAACTGAAATCACAAATTTGTGTCAAGGAACTTTAGAATCTGTACAGCATATGACATGAGGAGGGATCTCCCTTCTGAGACAAAGAGACATTTAAAGCAACATGGATGTACAGTATAGACAGTCAGCATGACACATCTAGAGTTTGTGAAGTCTGTGATCCATGAAGATGTCAAGCAACGGATGTAAGAGCCACATGATCTCATCCCAGAGGCAGAGACACAAAGACAACATTTTGAATAATTCTTTTTAAAAAAACATGGAAAGAAAAGGTAAAACATGCTTTTGACTGAATGATATGAGTCAAATAATGTTTAATGGGCGCTCACACACTCAGTCCTCTGTGTTACAACCAAGGCATTGAATTGGTAGCATAACACTCGCACACACACAAACAAGTGCGCGCTCACACTTGCACGCGTGTGCCTACACACACAGACACACACACTCCCCTCACAGCCCCTAATCTCTCAAAAGGCGAGTCTGTATCGAAGTTGGACTGACAATCATTTCACTGTTCGTCGTTGAACACAGCTGGACAGAGAAAAACATAGAGGACAGGGAAATTTACACATCCAGTTCACAGCGAGTTACGCTGAACTGATTCAATGATTTGGAGGTTACAGTTACTTAATTTATGTTTCTATTCTTCTTTTCCCCCTCACACAAAACACTCAAGTGCAGCCTAAACTACAACCTACCTCTTATTATTAAGTCACAACGGTGACAGTGTCTTCAAGTTGGAACAAAGATATTTTATCTGATCTCAGTGCTCATCTTCATCAGATGATGTGTTACAAGAGAAGCAGTGTGGCTGAATGTACTCAGTCTTTATATTAGTGCCGCAGAATTTGATCCCTGGTCTTGAGATGGTGTTAACGTCATGGTCTTGTGGTTTTTTTTCTCACTACACCAACTTTGTTTGTTCTGTCCAGCTCACAACTAGCCCTTGTGATCTTATCGCACCAATGAAAAAATGCAATCTGACATTTCGTGTATCGACGCTGAACCACTTGTCATATCTTTTTAATGTTTCATTCATCCCCCCACAGTGATCAATGTGACGAGCTGTGCTTTTTTTTTTTTAATCAGTTTCAACTAGTATTTATTGACATAATTTTACAAAACTCTTAGAAAAGGCCTAGCATGACCACATACAATACATGGAGATTGATAGATGGATGGAGGCTATAAATAAGATTCATTTTTGCACTTGAGTTTGCGATCATAAAATATTCTTATCTCTTGGCGCATAGCATTAACCGTTACATAAGAGTATTACTGTTGTTCCACTCCAAAATCTAACGGTTAAATATACAAAGGTTTAACATGGGCACATGAAACATCACATGCACCAATCTTTTAAAGGTTCTGTGTAAATTAAAGGAGCTAGAATTGCTACTTTTTTTTCACAATTTTACTGTTTTGACTCGCTGTCGTCATCCTCAGGGTAAAAGCTTTTTGGTGCCCAGTGAAGTAATGACAGCTATAAGGAGCTGAGCCCATTATTTCCCTCAGCTGTTGGTGGAGATGAAAACGGAACTAAAACAGTGGAAATGTTGGATTTACATTTTCCAGATGGCCACAAAAATGAATGCACAGGAATTCTAATCTATAAATAAGCAAATAGATTTGTTATATCAAGTTAAAAGTTGATGATATGTGACTGTTATGTTCATAAGTGGCCAAGAAAATGATTTATTGCAGGTTTCAGTAATTTTAATGACTTTGTTGAATGTCTTTCCTCTTGTATGCTCAAGTCAAGTCAACATATTCTCAGCTCTCATCCTGATAGCACGCACATCGCTGCTTTGGAGGTGATTATCAGAATTTAAATAAGCAAAGTATAGCTACAGTATGTTTTACTTTAACAAATAGTTGATTATACCTACAGTGTGCACATTTTTATTCCATTGATAGCCCTGAGTGAAAGACGATATAGTATCTAACTTTAAAAAAAAATAAAATAAAAACAGTTTAGGTCTTGAACTTGTGCTACTGATGACTTGAACTCAACTGTCTCTTGGACACGACGGTGGTCTTGACTGCTGCTCTGTTGCTCGTTTTCTCCTCATCATTCCATCCATGGACATTAAACTTACATTCTGCCTTTCTTGCCCCGACTCTCCTCAGCCTCCATCTATCTACCCTCCCCTCTCTATTTTTCGTTATCAGGCCTGCCAGCTTAAATTTACTGCCTCTTTGGGTGGGGTGCACATCTGGATCTTATTTAAGGGGAACCATCCTGCTTTTCTCCCCGTGCACTGGCATGTATTAAGAGACATTAACCATCTGTTTCTATCTTGTGAAAAAAAAGACAGCCAGTTTCACCCATAAAAATCAGTAACATAAGGATTTATAATGTTAAACAGTGGAGTTTGATTAGAGACGAGTGATTTGGTTTGTGGATTTAATGACTGAAAGTTACGAGATGTTAATTCTACTTTAAATATTAGTCACCAGATATTATATTGCACTAAATCTTTCTTTTTATTTCTTTTTTAAACAAACGGTGGGAATGCATACAGAGGGTTAAGCACAACGGTGACATTAACACCAGTAGGCGACGTTTATGTTGGTTCCTGATGGTGAAAGCTGAGTGAATAGTAGATGAAAAAGTAAAAGGAGAATTTTTTCCAATGCTAACACAAAAATTCCTCACATTCCCAACTGAGTAGCTGCTTAATCTATCAGAGAAAGAGTGAGTGTGTATGTGAGGTCGAGAGAAAAGGAGAAAGACTGGGGTTGCCTGCCCAGCCTCTTTATACCAGGTCCTTACCCTCTGCTTCACCCCCTTTGTGCGACTTCCCCCCTCGTCTCTCGCAGTCACTCTGTTTCCAGCATCTTTAGTTTGGGACAACCAGCGCCTGCTTTAAAGAACATCTCTCTTTATTCTGTGTACCGCAGGACATATTTATCTATACAAAGTGATTCACTCTGTTCTAAATATATGCATAAGCAAGTGCCTGTTCTACATGTTGGTGTTTTACAGATTAAGTTGGGTCATGTGTTTGGGATTTAGGAGGCTTTGGGTATCAAAGAGTGAAAATGACCCAGGGGTGAAAAAAGGAGAGAATTTGGAAATTCTTAAATTGCTTAATTACATTTATGTGCCATATCATCATAAAAAGTGTTTTTTAAAACTTGCCTTACAAAATGATAAGAAGCAGCCTTTGTTATTGTAAATAAAACTGAAGTGAGAAGAAGAAACTCGGATAACGCAATCTGTGTAGTGATTATGACATTGTGTTTTTTCTAAATAGCAGAAATGCAGCTTCAACCATGAACTCAGTGATTCCAGTGTATATGTGTAACCAGTTAGAGGCACTGAATCATCAGTGTGTCATCAGTGTGTAATGTTGATTACCACCACATCCGTAGACTGTTGGTCACTCCTGAAACATTAATCTTTAAATTCTCTGTAAGCCAATCAGTTCTTGTGTTTTACTTGATCGTCATATCTTTAACAAAATGACATGATATAGATACACTGATATAATGTAATCAACAAGTTCAATTCTTTAATACACCTTATGGTGCAACCTGTTCACATCGTTTATGAGCATTATGTTGTTAGAAGTTTTACAGGGGATTGTTACGACACCAGCTTGTGTTGAAACCAGAGCTGCTGTGGCACTGTGTGGAGCTGCTGAGAGATTCCTGTTGCTAATCCCCAGATGCTCTCCATCTCCCCTCCATGTTCCCAACCCTCCCTTCAACACAGGTCATGATATTACCAGTTCTCTGGAGCCAGCCAACATCGACACCAGTATCCTGGAAGAGTACATCAGCAAGGAGGACGATAGCACTGACATGTCAGTAGGGACTCCGAACCGACCCAGCAACGTCAAAACAACATGCACCAACCAAATCAGATCATGTCGTTACAAAGGAATTTGTTTTTCCTGATAAGGCTAATGCCTTTTTTCTTCTTCTTTTTCTCTCCCAGCTGTTTCTCAGAGGTCCACAGCACCCCAGGACCAAATTACTCATCTCCCCAGGCAGGAGTGTCCTCCTCCGGAGGGTTAGTGTGTGGTGTAAGCCCCCCTATCCCACTGCGCCAAGGAGCCCCTCCACCCGGGCCCCCGAGCTGTCAGAACGCCTACCCCCCAGGTCCATCCCTGGGCCTCCGACACAGCTACCCCTGCCTGGGACAACAACCGCAGCAGCAGCAACACCAGCAACACCAGCAGCAGCAGCAGCAGCAGCAGCAGCAGCAGCAGGGTCACGTCAAGCCTGAGCACAGGGGCCATTACGCTCCAGGGTGAGCGGCAAAGCACATGGTTGGCGGGCAAGAAGTAGAAAATGGCAATACAAAGTCAATACTCATTGTTCAAGAAATGCTCAAGATGCTCCTGGCAGCTCACACTTGAAACATGAAATCAGTTGCTGCAGAAGACAATATTTTTTGAAGCGTGCACACACACGGACACACACCCTACTACAGGACCATTGCGCAATCAATACATGATCAAGCTTCATTTGTACAAATAAAGCATTAGCTGGTCAAGAGGGGGAGGGAGACTGATAAGAGACAGAGAGAAAGAGAGTCAAATTACATCCTGCAAAAAAAGTCTGACGCACGTAATCCTGTGTAAAGAACCTCTACACGACTGTGATCCCAAAGGAGAGTTTCTCCCTTAAATATGATGGCAGCTTAGAAAATAGGAGGAATAAATAAGCCAGGGTTTCAAGCATGGTACTATTTTAAGGATACATAGAATTTTAAATGCCTGATATTTTTGTGTTTATGTAACATCTATTGCCTTCTGTTTCTTGTTTTGTTTTAGGACACTACCTGAGTCCCCTCCAGACTCCAGCTCTGAGCCGTACTCTCCTCAGCAGGTGAATGGTAAGAAATGTGTTTTGTTTTGGTCTCCATAAAAAGTAAAGTTTTATTTAGGAAAGCGTGCATGAGAGCAAGTAACCAACGAAACGGTGCTTTAATCAGTAGAAAGCACTCAAACTTTCAAAGTATTTGGACTGTAAGTGGGTCAGAGGAACTTCTCGTGTTAAGTCAATATCTGTTACTCATCACTTCAGGGTATTTGAAGAGAACATAAAGACAAGAGGAAACTCAAGTTCATTTGCAAACAAATCAATACAGGAGGACACCAGAGGAAGCTGGTGTCTGTCACTTGCTAATTTACAGCTTACATAGATCATCTGGACATATTTTATCAGCTAAATTACATTTTCTGAGCTCATTTATTTCAGCTGAAGAATGTTTGGCAGTGTTCAAGTTAAGCAGCTACAAAACTCAAAGTCGTTTCTTGGCACTCACACCTGTGTTGGTCTTGCCTATTAGTGAAAAGGTGTGGAATAGTGTTATCTGATGGGCATCCCTCCAGTTCCACACAATGGAAAATACCTTTAGCCGAGGTTGGAGGAGAGTCAAACAAACGGCAGCATGACATGCAAACCAGACAGACTGTGATCAGATGTATTCATGAGGAACAGCAGTATGTTTAAATCAGCATTATGCTCTGTTTTAGATCCTCACATGATCAGGACCATGACACCAGAGAACATGTGTCACATGACTCCGACGCCACCCCTCCCGCCACACGGCCACTATCCCAGCATGCACCGGGACATGTACCTGAAGCCTGAGCCCATGATATCGCAGTATCCTATCGGACCAGCCACGAGCGGAAGTGGAGACATGCAGCAGACGCAGATGCTCCATCAGTTGCTGCAGCATCCTCAGGGCCAAGAGTGAGTTACAAAGACACACTGGAAGGAGGGGTTGTGTTGTGCAGTTTGTACTGTAACGGAAGGAAGGAGTAAATAGTAATGTCTCTTTCTGTTTTCTCTCACAGCGGCATCCCTGTTCACCAGGCGAAGAAGAGGAAGCACTCCGACTCTCCCAACAGCACCTTGAATTCCCAAATCCTCACAGGTATCATCAAACAAGAACCAGGTAGGCAGGCATCTTTCTTTCCTTCCTCACCTCCTCTACCTGACCTCTTCTACCTCACCTCCTCTTTTCTGCCCCTGAAATCCTCACAAAGATAAAGATTTGTACAGAACAGTTGCAAACATTCCCAACCTTCGTCGGTCACACTTTAATAGCTGGTATTTCAAACTGTTTGTCGCAGGTTTAATGCAGGATGCAGACAACGCCTACCTGGACCCAAATTATCAGTGCATTAAGTGGCAGCCTCACCAGCAGAACAAGTGGACACCACTGTATGATGCCAACTGCAAAGAGCTGTGGGTGGAATTTATTTTGGCATACCTGTACATGCTGAGGTCTTTGTTTTGGAACAAAAAGCACAGAGAGCACTCCACAGAGAGTCAAAAAAAATGAAAGGAGTTTTAATTGGTTAAATGCATAATTCAACAAAGTATACAGCGGGAGTAGCAAAGGAATAGCGGGGTTGCAGAGGTCTACAAATTCCTCAGTGGTGAGCTGTGCGGGGGAGTGAACCAGCGCAGGGTTTCGGCTCAGAAAGACAACGTGAGGAGGGGGTAAAGGGAAAAATTAGTGTGCACCTACTTGTGCTTTTGCAGTGCCAAAATAAAAAAGAAGTATAGATAGGGAGGAAGGTTAGAATGAACTCACAAGACCTTTCAGATATGTTATCAAAACCACCTGGTCGACCATCACAACTTTTAGCACACCACGCCTACGTAAAAGAAGAGAGGGTTTTCATGTGTTTCAAAATAGACCAAAGTCTTTCAGAGGCTCTTAGTCCTCAGTGTTGCAAAACCTGTGGCAGAACAACCGAAGCTGAGGGGCCGAAGGAGTCCAAAGCAGTGATGCAAAGTTTACGTGACTACAGAGAAACTGCAGTGTACCGATCTCAAAAACACAAATTCAGACTTTTAGGGTTTCATAATAAATCAAAGGAATCAACGCTGTCAACTTGCAGGGTGGGACTTTCTGTTTCATTATTCGTCTTCAGAATGAGTTTGTGGTTCGAACATATATGACTGAACTACTCCAATATTACAAGTTGCTATTTTGCACAGTAGCTTCACAGTATTTAAGAAGTCGTAGGTGAGCTGGTGTGCTCAAGTTGTAACTTCTAATATGAGCAATTAACTTATATGTTAGCAAGCTGAAGGCAAGAAGAGCCTATTCAATAATAATAATAAAAAACCTTCTAAATATGTTGCTTTGAGGAACAGAGACAAGCTATCAGGGGTTTGAATCAATGGCCGGTGAAGCACTTTAACAATGAAGACGGACAGAAGGTTAATAGGTTTCAACATCTTAATAGTACTTTCCAAAATAATAGTATGCAATGACAAAATCTTCACTAAACTGTCTAAGTTAAATCCAAACGTGAATTTCTTGATAGACTTGCCCCAGCAGAATCCCCCAAAATGGAGTAAAGAGTCAATGTGCATTTTACTTACAACGAATGTGAGGTGACATGTTTCTTGTTCACAATATTCATGTGTGATCATTTCTGTACTCGTCTGCAGTCCGATGCCAACCTACCGTGTTGACGCTGACAAAGGCTTCAACTTCTCCTTGGCTGACGATGCTTTTGTGTGCCAGAAGAAGAACCACTTCCAGGTCACAGTATACATCGGCATGCTCGGGGATCCCAAATACATCAAGACAAGTGATGGACTGCAGCCCATCGATTGTTTCTATCTCAAACTCAATGGAGTAAAGGTAAGGACAACACAGTGACACATGCAGCAGTGTTGTGACTGGTTGCATTAGCTCTGCAGAGTGTTTAATGCATATGTTATCTCTCTCTTCATTGTCAGGTGGAAGCTATGAATCAGTCCATCAGTGTGGAGCAGTCACAGTCTGACCGCAGCAAGAGGCCCTTCAAGCCAGTGCTGTGAGTCTGAGCTCTTCATTAAAGTAGAACCAGTGTAAAGCTGCATCAGAAGGATTTTTTGCATTACATCATTATGATTTTTGTCTCTTCCAGCGTCACTTTGCCCCCAGAGCAGGTCACAAAGGTCACAGTGGGTCGGCTCCACTTCAGCGAGACCACAGCAAATAACATGAGGAAGAAGGGAAAACCGAATCCCGATCAGAGGTGAGAAACACGGCATCGGACACAAACATACAAAACTGGTCACATTCAAAGCTCCAATGGTCACGTCTGCCCCTGATCATTTTGCCTTTGCAGGTATTTCATGCTGGTGGTGGCGCTGCACGCACAGTCCCACAGTCAGAGCTACACTGTGGCTGCTCACGTGTCTGAGAGGATCATCGTCAGGGTAACGTCTGGCCATGTCTGTCTGCTTCCTACAACAATCATATCCCTTGTGAATGTGACACCTTTCTCTTGGTCTGCTGTACACACCTTCCTGCAACACAGTGATGTCAAAATCACTGTGTTGCTCTCAGCATTTTCTCTTCATTCCATTCTTTCCATCCCTCTCTCTGTGTGTCTGTGATCCTCATTAAACTTCAAAATACACAGTTGAGGAGAATTTAGATTATGCGACGAAGTGTATTAACGTTGTCCAGTGAAAATCATGTATCTTCCAAGTGTCAGCCTCTCATGAACGAAGAAAAAAGTATTTGCTTTGTGGTGATACATGATTTTTGCATCACCACATTAAAAAAAATAAATATATTGAGCCGAAAAATCAAGATAAGTCTCTTTAATGCATAAAGCAACATATTTCAGCAGAAAACTTGGAGATATATGGGTTTTGTTGAACAGCGATGGTTGTGTAGTTAACTGCAGAAGCTTAATTAGAAGAGATATTTGACAGCTAGATATTTATATCATTTACCTTTAATAGCCAGTTGGCCTCCAGGAAACCATAACTTACTTGACAGTTTTATTCATTTTGTGAACACTGACCAAGCTTGCTTGCTTTCTTGCAGGAGGTTAGACGATAAGAATGAAATCACACATATGTGTAGGATAAATTGATTAGCATCAAAAACAGAAGGAAATGGGTGATTATGGTTAGTCTAATCTCACAAGGTCAGATCCCCTAAATGTTTGTACTAGAAAAAAATACTGGGTTTGTATGGCATGTTGACCAACACTAGAAGGTGAAGAAAAAAGTCAGTCATCATAGGGAAGAATTAATGTAAATTAGTTTAAATATGGGAAGAAATTCATGTGTTGCCATGAAAATACCATAAATAGCTGTTTAGCCCTCTGAACCTCAAGCATATAAAGTCCTGCACCTATTTGGAAACAGTATAAACATGGCTAGAAGTAGAGAGAGCTCAAAAAACGCTATAACGCCATGAATAATTTTTTTTTTTAAAAGAAAGAAAGAAAGAAAAAAAGAAAAGACAGATGTTTAACCCTTTGCCTGCACGTGTTACCAATACTCGGTCATGTTACAGAATCAGTTTTATTTAAACATTTTTTTGCCACTTTTCATAATAAGACATGTAGAATAAGGTCATTTTTAAAATTTTCTTAAATTTGGATACACATCAAAGCTGAACAACACATCACAGCTGAGCAGTTAATAAGTTGAAAATTTGAGGATTCTTTCTATTTTTAAAGTTTCTGGTTCTGATAAATAGTGTAATTTTGGTTTCTTGAAGGTAAAAGGCCTTTTAAACTTTCTGGCAAGTTTGAGGGATTCAGGGAGTTGACAAATCAAAAAAGAGAAAAAAAAATTCAAAGCCTGGCTTGTTTTCTCACCACCACACAGCTGGTTCATCATGGCATGAGAGGGGTGCAAATGGATGGTTTTATAGTGGTCATGTGCCAAACAGTTTCTTGGGATGGGAGCAGTGTCTTCCCATTGCCTCATCAACTCTTGACAAGAAAGCAAATGAGCATGTATTCCTGAACTGTTGTTTGAAATATTGTATTTATTTTTTTAAATATATTTTCAGTTTATGCTCCTAATATCTGAATCACAGATTCTCTGTTCCCTTTTGCTTTGTTTGTTACAGGCATCCAACCCAGGCCAGTTTGAAAGTGACAACGAGGTGTTGTGGCAGCGCGGCCAACTGCCAGACTCAGTCTACCACCACGGCAGAGTCGGCATTAATACAGACAGACCGGACGAGGCCCTTGTTGTCCACGGCAACCTGAAGGTCATGGGCTCTCTGGTCCACCCGTCTGACATCAGGGCCAAAGAAAATGTCCAGGAGGTCAGGATGACACTCTGTGTGTATGAATATGGTGTGTGTGTGAGAGAGCGTGTGTTCCTAAACTGTGTTTTGTACTTGTCATCATGAATCATGTCATCCAAGCACCCATGTTCAGCGCAGTCCCCCGACTGTGCAGTTAAACTGAGCTGTCTTTTTGTTATACTTGACACACATTTTTTCATCTGCAACATGTGTATTGTCTTGTCGTGCCATCTACATGGGTGTCATTGTCATTCTGTTTGTGTGTAGGTCGACACCACAGACAATTTAAAACGGATTTCTCAGATGAGGCTCGTCCATTATCAATACAAGCCTGAGTTTGCTGCCACCGTGGGCATAGAGAACACTGCAGAGACCGGTAACACCTCCATCAATAACCTCTGTTCAAGTTTAAATCTTTGGTTCCAACATCTCATCTCTTTGTACACACTTTATCACATTGTCATCTCAATGTTTGCATATTTATCTGTCACATGCATCGTTAAGCACACTTGTCATCTATCTGTGCCTGTGTCTATGCTTTTGCTGCTCTTTTTTACTTCTGCACTTGTCATATTCCTCGTACAGGAGTGATCGCACAAGAAGTTCAACAAATCCTGCCTGAAGCAGTGAAGGAGGGGGGTGATGTTGTGTGTGCCAATGGAGAGACTATTCCCAACCTGTTAGTTGTCAACAAGGTAATGAACGCACACATGGACATACAGCGTAGTGCTCACAGACAGTGTTTAAACACGCACACTATCAGCTGATTGCTTCCTCTAATTTCAAAGGAGCGTATCTTTATGGAGAACGTCGGCGCGGTGAAGGAGCTGTGTAAGCTGACAGACAACCTGGAGACTCGTATAGATGAACTGGAGCGCTGGAGCCGCAAACTGGCCAAGCTGCGCCGCCTCGACAGCATGAAGAGCACCGTGAGCGGAGGCACGATCAGGTAAAAGAAACAAGAAGAAATGGATGCGCCTCGGATCAGGATGTCAAACATTCACAGACAGCATCTTGTATGAAGAGAGGAGACGTAATAAATTACTCTTGTTTCTCTTGTCTGTGTAGCCAATCAGGAAGCTATTTCAGCAGGACAGGGAGCGGCCCACTCAAGAAGAAGACAGTCAAACCTGGGAGCAAGGTCTGTGGTGATCCCAGTGTTTTTTTTGTTGTTTTTTTAAAAATGTAATAAGCTGATGAACAGCGTCGCAAACAGTTTCCCATTATTATATTACAGAGTCCGCTTCCAGATCAGGGCTGCATCAGTCAGAGGTTCATGCAGGGGACCATCCTGGCACTGGTCGTTGTCATGGCCTTCAGGTTCGAAGAGAACATGTGTTTGAGGAGGGACTGGTAGAACTAACAACTGACAAGAAACCTGCTACATCCATGCACAGTGGTGACATGTTCATGATGTCCTGTATCTTCATTTGTCCACAGTGTCATTTCCATGTCCGTCCTTTACGTGCTCACTCTTCACCATAGAGGAGACGTCACCGAGAAAGACGGGTATGTGCTTTTACTGCACAGACTATTAAGCTTTATAGTGAAATAAACCAGTTTCCACTTCTCCATTAATGTCTTTCTATATAATCTGTTCCTCCTTTCTGTAGCTATCTTCCTTCCTGTGTTCTCTACATCTCTTGGATGCCCATCTTCACTGCCACTGTAACTGTCTGTCCACCTGTCTGCCCATGGTACACTATCAACACCCATCTTTCATGCTTTATTTCAATTTCCGATCTGCTCTTTCAGTCTTATCTTTGATTGCTTAGTGGGGTGTTTCTTTTGTCCTGTCTGAAAGGAGATCATGAGTCACACACTGAAGCACTTTGAAATTCATTAGCTATGAAGTGCATCATTATTTGAACTCAAGCATCCTCCTGACCTCCTTTACTGTGTCATTTCAGGTCAAGAGCTGCACTGGGATCCTCACGTAAGAGTGCATTTACTCCAATGTCCACCAGTCCTGCACCAGGTGAGTGAAAGTCTTCACGAGAATCAAACTTCACAGTTTTGAAGTTAATCAGCCCACTCAGGGCATAGTGAATATGTTTAACTTCACATGATTTTGTTTTGTCTTTGCTTTCAAACAGGTTGCTGTTCGACGACAGCCGTAAACAACCAATCAGCTACTGTTTTGACATTGAGTAACAACCAATCCACACCAGGTAATATATACATATGTATGAAATGTATATTCATAAATATCAAATGCTTTCCTATTATGTATATGTTTTTCTGTCCATATCAATTATCTTTCTTCTCAAGGTGTAAGCAGCCTGGTTCCCACACCAGGCACTATTATGAAGAAGGCCAAGTCCAGACCCATGGACAAGGATGGCCACAACAGAAACCGTCTGAGTCACACCTCAGCACCCATGTACTTTGCAAAGTCCAAAAGGCCTGTTTCTACAGACCTGGACGGTGTGGGAGCCACCAACCGTCTGCCTGGGGGGCAGCAGCCAGTGCCACGCAGACAACGCAGCCTACACGCAAAGGGTAAAATCACAAACACAGCCCAGGCATGGCACTTTTTTCTCACACATAATATGCAGTATGCAAACAGAGTCAAACCATTTGTTTGACGACTGCAAACACAGCTCGTCTACGTACTGTACAAAGGAATGGTTTGGTACTTGTAATACAGCTTATTTTTTTTCTTTTTGCAGGAGGAAGGTCAGCTCCCTCTCTCACAAGTGTATATATCGTGGAGACAAACCAAGAAATCACTGCACAAAGTTGTGCAACAGCAGAGAGCTGCAGGTATATACCAAAAAGTTACTGATTTTGAGTTGAAGTTGGACAGATTATTTACATGTGATGTGAAGTGTCTCAGTAGCTAAAGCAATTTTTATAAGTTTTACAATATTTCCACTTACCTTCTGCACAATTACGGCAGGAATGATGGTATGTTGTACATTGATGCATATTTTCTCTGTTTTGACTCCAGCTATACAATATCACTTCATGGAAAAAGAAATTCCTCCATCTCACAAATCACTTTGCACATGACGTGAGTATACAAACACCATCTACTGTATGTCACTGCATACGTGCGATGGTAAGGTCTGATTTTATGGGTCTGTAAATTCCTAATAATTTCCTAGAAAAAAAAAAATCATGTGATCTGACTCTAATTATGCACATGAAACAAACACATGAAATAGAGGGGGGATTAATAACTAGTACACTGTCATTTATTACTTCAAATGAATTACTAATCAGCTTAGTCCCAGAGTCTTGTACTCAGTGCACAGCAGGTCAGCTTGACATGCAGAGTGTGCATGTTTTTGACATTTAGCTTTTATGAAGAAAATAATGCCTAAAATAAATGTCAGTTGTTTCAAGAACATTTGTGATTCTTTTTTTTTTTAACTCAACGCAACTATCTACAAGCCACTACAACACCAGCTTTTATTTGTATTTTTTGCTATGATAAGTCCCATAAAATGTATTTAATGTTCAAGAAATTATTAGGAAATTGCTAGGAAATAATATTTATAAAATAAAGCATTCACAATTCACTGCAGGTCCACGAACAGTGTGTGGGTACGACAATGTGGGACAACCAAGGGCCGCTTATGCCCCAACCACACGGAAACGGAGCTCTACGGTGAACAGAGTACATCAACAAAGGTACGCAATGAAACACACAACATTTTTCCTCATGTTACCACCACACGTATATGAAACTAGTATCATATATATATATCAAAATGTGTCTCCCCACTTACTGTAAATTGCTCATTCACTATCTCATGTTATTCTTTCTGTTTGGCTCTCAGGGGACTCATCACCTGTGGTCAGTGCCTGTGCTGTCTTTCCAGGACGTCACTTATCACTTCCGTGTCTCCCTGTCTGTGAGTAAACTTGGCCTAAGACACTGTGGGCGCGGTTTGGTTGCTGTTTGTTCTTGATCAAAGTTTGGGTAAAGTCACTGGGTGGACAACTAATGATTTCTAACTCTTTTCATTGACAGGGTGAAGTGAGCTGTGCCACTGAAGGAAAAACCTCATCATACTCTGACTACCATTTCGTCATTCAGAGCAGCTGTGTGTGAGGAGGAAGACGATGCTTCCCACTGCCTTTACAATACACCATGTTTTTTTCCCATTTGTATGCTGTTGTGATGGGATAGGGCTTTGTCTCATTCTTGTACATTATTTTAAAGATATTCATACAGAACAAACTATATATTGTACCACTGCCCCCATCTGTAATCCCCTCCATATGTATATGCATTAAGACATCTCTTTTTGCTGTGATCACTGGAGTTTTAAACACTGTTTAAGTTTGTTTTTTTAAATTTCTGTCACTGGAAATGTTTTAGATGACGGCCACTGACTCTTGTGTTGTGCCACTGTTAACTGCTATTGTAAAAGTAACTCCCATAAGTTTATAGCTCACTTTATTGCTGATCACTATGTCTGCCATACCTAATATGAACCATAATTACTTTTTAGCAGCAAGTTCAGGCTAAAATATCGTAGACGACACTGCGCACATTTTTGTTTTCTTTTGTGATACTATGAATCTGTATGTACACTGAAACCAGTGTCACCTGAAAACAAAAGTACTTTTTGATAGTTTAATACACTGGAGAGGAGCCTCAGTGAATCGTTGCAACTCGCATTATAAATATACCTCAGTAGTGCACACTGGCAAATCCTGGCTCTCTACAGCAGACCTTTGTGTCGGGGCTGCTGCAGTCGACTCTACTGCATCTGATTAAACACTGTACAGAGAGGGAATACTTTGGAGTATTTCTATCTCAGTTGTGGCACTGAATGAAACATCAAGATGTTACAGAAATGATTTGTGCATAATAACTACACAGAAATCCTTCCTTATGTCCCTGAGTCATGATCATTTTAGCAGATTCACTGGATGACGTGTGTTAAGACTGGAGAAGAAAACAAATCACAGGAAATGAACATGTAGATACACTGACCGCTCTTAGCATCTGATAGTTGAAATGCAACAAGTCCAACACTGACAATATTTCAAGAAACACTGGAATAGCTTACACTGTATTTTGCTAACTGGACAATGCTGGTAGGGCAATAAATGGCATAAATCATTTCAGGTGCATGCCCAATCATTTCTTTAAAATGATGCATCGTTGCTCAGAAGCTGCTTCAGCTTGGAAGTTCTATTATACGTCTTGATCCTAAAGCTGAAAAGAAGTTTATGTACCAACGGTGCAGTGATAAAAATTGGATATTATACACTGGATTCTTTCATGCATTCCTCTGGATGTTTTAAATATTGTCCTGTTCCTTTGCAACTAAGAATATGCAGTGATAACACATTTAATATGAATTATATTATGGGGTTGTTTTGTATTACCTTTTCTTGTCTCAGACAAATTCTCCACCAACTTCCACACATCATGCTTTTAGATGCATTTGTTGATGTTTGCTATTAAATTCATAGTCTGTCTGTGTGTCTGTATTCAGAAAAAAAAAAGTGTAACTCAAATGTAATATCAATATTAAATAGGAAGAACAGCCATCAGACAAAGTTTATGAAATTTATGATAATATCAAGACCTTGTACAATGCTTTCAACTATAATTATTATGTCTTCAGTGGGTATAGTGTACTATTTTAGCTTATTTATAATGCACCAGCTAGCATGATGAAACCACTGTAGCACTTTTTGCACTGTATATATATGAACCGCTTTCGCTGTATCAGACTGGTGTCAGATACTCTGATAGACCTGCATTACATATAACTGTATAGCTTCATTTTGTTACTACCAATGCTCCTTTTTATCTGAAGTGTTTTATCATATTGTTTTTATAGTTGATTTTTTTTTGTTTGGGTTTTTTTTGTTAATAATATATTAACTTTTAGCCATTGGAGCCCTGAAATGATTGATGAGCATGAAAACACTCATACACAAATACACACACACATACATTCGTAATTTTAGCACTATTTGTAAAGAAAACATGGCATGAGACTAAAACTCGTTGGCTACATTAATATCACTACTTTTTTCTTTATAGCCCATTATATCATTACATTTTGAAAGCTCTTGTTGTCAAAAGTATGCTGTAATACTATGAATGCATGCAGTAAATAAATTTGTGATTGAGTTTTCTGAGTTTCTTTGCCTATTTGCTCCGTGAGCTGAGAAGCAGCTGTTCATTCAGGCCAGTAGATGGCAGGCGAGGACAATCTTGTAATGCTTATACAAATGTAGCCCAGATTTTTGTCTTTCAGGCCAAACAACACACTGTAACACTCAAATGATAATAACACAGCTATGGGAAAGTATGAAAATACTATTTTAGTGTATAGTCTATTGGTTAGAAGTAGGTAGTAGAGCAGAATAGAGATGCAGAAATACTTAAAGCACGATAATATGCCTGAGAGGCTAAACTGGGGACAGAAAATGCTCCGTGTCTCAACGTCAACGCTACGTCAGGAAAAAACCAGGAAGTGCTAATCAGTACGTGGCCTTCCCTGGGACGATAGCAGCAGGAGCATCGCTTCATTACAAAATGGTACAATTACTCTGTTTATCTTGTTCATATGAGGTTAACTCTGATGTACAGTGGATCGTTGGTTATCTGTGCACGTCCATTTTAGTTTACCCAAAGAAAGCAATCAAAATTCTGTATGAAATTGTGCTAGTAAGCAACGTTAGCTTCTCGTGTGTAATTCAATGATTTAATTTAGCCGCAGTGCTAGCTTAATGAAACGACGCTGGTTTTATTCGCAGCACCAACCACAAGTTAAACATTCTATGCATTGTGTTAGCAGGAGGTTGAAATTACACGCTGTTTTCTAACCTGCTTGTATCCGCGCTCTGTCTGTGCTGTGGCTGCAGGAACTCGAGGCCATGACCAGATACACCAGCCCGGTGAACCCGGCTGTGTTCCCCCACCTCACTGTGGTCCTGCTGGCCATCGGCATGTTCTTCACCGCCTGGTTCTTCGTGTATCCTTTTACTGCTTGTTGTGCTTCACTCTTGAGGTTAACAGGACAGAGGGGCGTCGTATACAGAGACAAGTGGGTGTTGCAGAGTAGCAAGCAAGATCTTACAAGATCATGTCATTACCTTTGCACTTTGAAGCCTCTACTGCAGGTTCGCTGGTTTTACATCACTACTGGCCAGACTTGTCATTGAACACATGAAGAAGATATTATACAACCACGATTTGGGACTTTTTTTCATTGTTCGGGTCACTTTTTCCCCTGATAACAGTGCACTCAGCGAACTATTTCCTGGACTTTTAAACAAAGTATGATAAGACAGGCAACACAAACATCCATTATATATACACCGCTTAATCCTCACTAGGGTTGTGGGGGGCTGGAGTCTATCCCAGCTGACTTAGGACGAAGGCAGGCGACACCCTGGACAGGTCACCAGTCTATCGCAGGGCTACACTTAGAGACAGACAACCAAGCCAGAAAACCCAGAAAGAACCCACGCTGCATGGGGAGAACATGCAAACTCCAGCCAGAAAGATCCCAGGTGTCCTCACCGGGACGCAAACCGACGACCGTCTGGCTGCGAGGCAACAGTGCTAACCACCAAGCCACCTTACAGCCTGCAACACAAACAGTCAGATTATAAAGGCCCCATATTGTGCTCCTTTTCAGGAAATTATTAGAAATCTGACATGTCTAAGGAATGTGTCTTTTAGCTTTTCAGCTCAAAATACTGCAGCATAGGATTGGTTGACCATGACTGTGTCACCCCTCGTTTCAGCCCAGTTCTGAATCGGCTATTTTAGTGTCGGTAGCTTTAAATACAGCTAAGCTGCTGCTGTAAACACCATCTTAAGGAAGAAGATTCGTTGTGTCTCTGTGATTGACAGCTTGGAGCAAAGCATTTGACAGCACAGCAGCCGACACAAACGTCAGTGCGATTGCTATTTGATTATAATTTTGTTGTCTGACAACAGAAACAGAAAGATGTGTAAATGAGGACCGTTTTTGGAGAGAAGCAAAAATACATAAACACTGGTTAAGGTTAGGATACGCTGAAGCACAACAGATGACATGAAAACACAGTAAACAACTCAGTCTTTGTTTACTGGTTTCAAATAAGTCATAAATGTTCCACCCTCTCTGAATGTCCAGCAGCATTACAGTTTCTACAAAGCTCTGACCTGTGGGATTATAATCAAAACTAATGGTAAAATTAGCTACACAACATGCTAATGCTAAGATTGTCTAATTGTTGTAATGATGTTGCCATCAGAAATATAATTAATCTAATGGGTCTTCAGTTGCTCAGAAGCTGGGAGTCCATGAAGACTCTTGTTTTCACTCAACAGCAGAGCATTGGTGTGTGTTGGGTATAGCTGAGACATTTCAGAGTTCGTAGAAGCAGCTTTAAAAAGACGGTATACTTGGTAGACAGCGAACCAGCTCATCGTGGAAGCATCAGGCAGTGAGGCGGCAGGATTATGCAAATGTTCAGCTAAATGACGACTGGTTCCTCAGCTGGAACCTGACATTCCACGGAAATTCTTACCAGGCTTTTACTTTACAAATTCACAAGAACCAAAAATCACAATAAAAACAGATTTTCACAATATGGGACCTTGAAGTATGCCACCACTTCACTGGTAGAGAAAGCTAACATTCAAATGAGATAAGGTATAATTCAAACTTTCTGTTGTGTTGTAAACCTGTTGGCTGATTTCCTGCTTTAACTTTGACCTGTGTGTACTCACAGTTCTACTGTGTAGTATGGGGCTGTTACAGATACAACCAAAAGTTGCATCTGTATCTCCAAATAAAGTGCCACCTAATTTTGGCTACAGTGTTCAAGAAACATTGAGTTCCTGCAGAATTTGTGTTCTTAATTAAAACTATTAAAGCTTTACGATATTCTTTTTCTGCAGAATGATTTTGTGACATGAGAATGAGACACTTTGTGATTTTATGAATATATCGTTAAATAAGCAAACTGGAAGCCAGTACATGGAGTTACATTTGATACACTATTGACATAAATCTACATTCATATGAGATGCAATAAAGATTAGATTTAGAGTTGCTGTTGGTTTCACTGCAGTCTGAATTTGCCTTAACTTTTCGTCAGTTATGAGGTGACATCAACAAAATACACCAGGGACGTCTACAAAGAGCTCCTGATCTCCCTTGTGGCTTCACTTTTCATGGGGTTCGGTGTGCTGTTCTTACTACTCTGGGTTGGCATCTATGTATGAAGGTACTTTCAAAATCTTGTCCTATAAAAGTCTAATCGTTTTCATTATTTTCAATTCGTGAAACAGTTCCTAAATGCTTGTTATTTTCTTGTTTCAGGCAACTGACTTAAAAGAATATGATACATTCCAGTGGAACAAAGGACATCACTCACAACACGAACTGGATTTGGATTTAATTGGACTGCACTGACAATATTTTGGGATCATAATGGACTCTGGGTTTCGTTTCACAAGTAAAGGGGATTTTTAAAACTTTTGGTGTCTTTCTTTTTTTTAGCCTGATCCTCAGATTTCATAATATGATAGATTAACAGTTATATAAAATGTTGAATAACAATTTTTTACAGAACAGACCCCATGTAATGCAACGTAACATGCGGGTTAAGGTTATTTTGACACACTGAAGGCTATTTGTGGTGCGTTTCACGAGTGGCGTCTAACACCTCAATCCCTGATTAATCTTTGTGTTAAAAATAGAGCAGTCTGTTTCACCTTGTCTTCACTCCAGGATAATACTGACTACCCTAGTAATGAAGGATTACACTGGCATTAGAGAAGGATTATTTAATAAAAACAGCAGGAACATTACTCAAAGATCCCCACTTAGATAACTGGTTTCACAGGAAAATTGGCTTAATAGCATTACATTAATCATGTAAACATCACATACTAACCTTAAATAAGGCAAAATAAACCAACAGGTTTGGTCTTTTTCAATAGAAATTTCAAAGAACACAATAACTAGACTTTGTACTAAAAATGTTCATCACTACAGATCAAAACAAACTTACCTTTGCTAAAATATAAACATTCTTCCACTGTGCTGCATTCTGTCTGCAACCCAATGTTATGTACAAGGCCACAAAGGTTAACCGACTAAATCCTGATTAATACAATACTACATGTGCCATGCTTGGCTTACCTGCCATTGTAAACCATTTAACCGGCTGTCTGCTTGGCTATGAAGAGCCAGTAAACACAAACTGTGGTTGAGACTTTCACCCGCTCCGTTATTGAGCTCCATGTGTGTGCAACATCAGTCTGTTGCTTTGTGATATATATATATATATATATAGTGCAACAATTCTTTCCAAATGTCAAATCTGTAGAGAACCCTCTTGAGAAAAGGGTGGTGCATCATTGAACTGTCCTCCAGTAAATTCTGAAATAAAATTTAAAGAATAAAAAAAGACAGTAATCCAAAATTCAGAGTAGCTGATGTTGATGCGGGCTGCAGGGTGGCGCAGTTGGTAGCACTGTTGCCTCGCAGCAAGAAGGTTGCCGGCTCGCGTCCCGGTGGGGGGCACCGGAATCCTTCTGCGTGGAGTTTGCATGTTCTCTGGATGATGATGATGCCCAGTGTAAGTAATGTCAGATGGGGTTTTCTTTGCAGATCCTTTTAAGTCTCTGTGGGAGCTGTCTTTTCTTCACTGACGAGCTCTGGCAAAGGCATCGCGCAGCCACAAAGAGTCCTCGTACAACCTCGGGTCTCCCATATACTCCGCTGTACGCTTGTACAAGTAGTAATACAGCACAGCCGCTGTTGACAGAAAGAAGTACAGATACTTAATGAGAACAAATCACTGTTGGGACCGTGTATTTCTGAATTATTCCACCTCTTACCTGTTCTCTGGAAAACAAATAGAGCTTGAAGACCATCCGTCCAAACAAAACGGTTTGAATCAAGCCATCGTAGGTTCTGGGGAAAAAAGAAAGACTACTTAGCAGGTATATTCTAGGCAGGGATAGCGCTGGTTTAATCAACTTTTCATGTTCAGAGGAGTTTTAATTTGCACAGCTGTCTGGGAAGGTGTGACAGAACGTACCATCACCCAGCAGTGGAAACAGATGCTGAGGGTCAGGTAAAGAGGGGCAAATACCAGCAGAGCCCTGAATCTCTCCAGCAGCAGAGACACCAGGCCGACCTGGAACACGTAGGTGTTGAACATCATCAGGAGAATGATGATCACGTTGAACAAGATGGCAATGTCCTGAATGCTGCAGACACAGATATCAATGATTTATTTGCAGTGTTTGTTTCTGTTACATTGAACATGGTGGCAAGAACCACAGGTTGGGTGTCAGACATCAAACTGAGATGCTGATGGAGTAAACAACCTGTCAATGCAACAGTAAAGTGTAAACAAAATATATGACAATGACTGAGAGAAGAGTACAAATTACATTTCAAAACAATATATATGCTATATGAGTGAGTACTTGCTGACACCCAGAAATGACGTGCTACAGCTCACCTCTTTATGACAAGAGCTCTGAACAGGAAATTTTAAATTGATGAAAACCACAACATTGTTGAAGCCTAAACTCTTTGCCTCATCAGGAGGATACCAGATGTTCCTTCTATAAAGGCACATTTGCCATATTTCTGTCACAAAACTGGCCATGGAGTAAATACCTGTCGATTCATAAAATCAAGTCTCAAATATGAGTTACCGTGGCAACTTTCATGAGCACATATTTTATACTGTAAACTGAACAATTGTTTGAATTAAACCAACAGTTTTTTTCCAACAATTTCAAGGATGATACATTTTAAAAATTAACCTTGTTGATCCAGCAGCTTTCGAAAATATAAGCATTTCTGTTATTAAAGCAGAACTATAAAAAGCTAAACAATGTAAAGCTCAACTACTTCTTCTAATGTCTCCTTTGCTGTGTTATTTAATTCCAGAATTATTTTCTAGCCTATAACACCAAAACGATTTAGTATAACCATATGTTTCCAACTGAAATGATGAGAACGATGTATAACTACAATCACCTATTATATCATTGATTAATGGTAAAACATGTCAGTTAAATCATTCCTTATCATATTGAAAACAACTTAAGAGAAAGTCAGAGTCTTCAAAATACACACTGACGCCTTTCAGATTTCCACATATTTTAACAGTTTACACATTTGTGAAACAATCACTACCAAAAAATCTGGCAATTTTTTTCTGGACAAATAATTCAATCTTTTATGAAATACATTGTTCAGATATGTTTTTGATTGAGGGAAAATATAAGTATAACAGTTCTGAATCTTTTCAGCATGTAGTTGAGGGACTCACATGAAAAGCACTAGTTGGATGACAGGCGCTCCTCTCAGAAGTTCACTGAAAGAGTTGACAAAGAGGTCATAGGCCAACAGGGTCAGCTGGATCAGCAGCACCAGTGAGTAGTTGCCAGTCTGGAGCATCTTCTGGGGTTGATCCTGCTCACCACCAAGCTTCACAGTCTATTCTACACCGGTCTTCTGGCTGAAGTTCCTTACAGATCCAAGTACTTGATGGTGACACAGATCTGGTAGTTCAATATTCACCAGCTACATAATTTCGTCTAAAAATACTGGCAGAGGTATAAAAGCAAACAATGGGTCACGTATGGTCCATTCACATAGTTATCAGCGGTGGCTTTTTCCATCAGTTGTTCTTTGGATGTATGTACTCTTCACTCCGGTTTGTTCCGCTGTCAAGAAACACTGTCCTTGATGAAAAAAGATCTCTGCGATGATAGCAGGCTTTCCAAGATATCAGACGAGCTGGGTTTGAGCCTGTCAAATGCAGCATATTGACATCTTTTGTGTTGAAAGTTTCCTCATTTGCTACATCACCTGAGAGGAAGAGCAAAAGTAGTGAAAAGACAAAGAATTAATACAAAATGTCCACCTCTGAGGCGCGTTCATTGCTCCGACTTCGCTCCGCAGCCATCTCCGGTGTGGATGAGTGGCTGTTGTAACTGACACAGACAGCTAAATTAGCAGTAAAGCTAACCATGTAAGGTCAATGCCCTCAGTCTGTTACACAGGCGGGCACTGAGAGGTCAAGGCTGGGATTACAGATTTGACCAAACGTAGCTTACGCAGACACCTCCATCTCTTGTTTTTGTTGTTGTTTTCGCGTCGCTCTCCCTTTCTCTCTTTTCACCCATGTAATCTTCCTATGACGGTAGCCTATCGTTATTCAGTCCTGGCACTAGATAATCTTGGAGACGGATAATAGAGTTACTACTGGCTTATTTCCACAACAAATCACTGGATTTGGCACGGGCACAACTGAGATTTTAACTTCGAGGAACTCACTGCAGACTGTGTGCTACGTGAACCACCGCAGACATAGCCACCACAACACTGTTTAACTCTACTCACTGTTACACAAGCACAGTTCACAAACACATACTTACCGGAAAAACGTATGAAGAACGAAAACAGGTTACTCTGAGTCGAGAAGAAACACTAAATTGCGCCTATTTCTACTTTTATCCGCAAACAATGCTGCCCCTCGGAGCCTCCACAGCTGCTTTTTTTAGCGGTAACGGATGTATTTCCGTGAATTCCATGGTAACGCTGCTTTTTACCATAATACCGGAAATAGAGGCTCCACAAATATTCTTCAACAATAACGTTGCCCAAATTAGACTGCTACATAGACCGTGTCAAGATTCAAGACCTTTTTTTTTTGTCACAAACCCAATTACACAACGCGCAGGGAAATTTATTGAGCACCTGTTCCAGATCGAAACAATAATAATAATAACATAGATAGATAGATAGATAGATAGATAGATAGATAGATAGATAGATAGATAGATAGATAGAAAGATAGAAAGATAGATAGATAGATATAAGCAATATATATATCTATGGCGAAAAGTAAACAGGATAGTGAGCAGAACAGAACTGTGTTTACTGATTCGTCATTATTACATTTTGTGACTTATAAAGCTGTTTTGTGGAAATCACAGCGACAAATATAACCATGTAGGGGAAAAATGGAGGCTCTATACTAAACGTTACGGTACCCTCCATCAGCATGTGGCCTTCAGCGCCCCCTAGTGACCGACGGTCATACCTGCCTAAATAAGCGCGAGCTGATCAAAGGTAGTGGACACCTGCGTCCAGCACAGCGGAGGTAAGTTGTCAAACTTTCTTCAACTTCGCTGAACTGACATATACAGGTGCTGTAATACGAGTCATTTAGAAATAATAGACAGCGTTTGTGTTCACTTTGTCTCTGCTATAATATATTAACAACCGCCTGTTTGTTGTGTGGGCTTCTCTTCTTTAATAATAAATGCACGTTGCTACATGCTGCTGGTTTTGTTTTCCTCAGCTGCTCTAAAATTGCTTCTGAAAGCCATTTAATTAGTAATAAGTTTCCAGCTAAGTTGTGTTTGAGGGAAACTGTTGTCTAATGTGCAGTTCACAACCATACTTGTGTGTCTAAGTTCCTGTTTTATCACCAGAGAGCTGTCAGTGTTTTCAACTAACATATGTTCAAAGTTTGCCCACGCAGTCACACCGAATATGGTCTCATGTTGACTTTTTAGCGTTTTTGTAGCATTCAGCATGTTGTTGTCACTTTCCATGAGTGTCAGCACATCTTGCACTTACACCTGGCTAAATGGTATGTTAGTGTCTAGAGGTTTATTTAACCTTTGGTTTGGCTGTTGGCTTGACAGAAAATCCTCAACATACAGTGTTGACATAAGTCTCTTATCAGGAATCTCAGTATAGCCTATATGTTGTGCAGACGTTTTAAAGTCTTCACAGATCATTAGCAAGATGCTTTACTGCTAGTATCAGCACATGTTTTTTTTGTGATTTTATGCCTTTATAGATAGCATGACAGTAGAGATAGGAAGGTGGGACTGTCATTTGCCACTGAGGCTAATTTCAGTGTGTACCTCAGCGTGACGAGATAAATGGGAACATTCGTGATTGCATTTACCTATGTATGATTTATGCTGATGTGGTTCTGTGTAATAGTAATGTCATCTAACCTGAAGACTGTGTGATGCTTGTATCTGTCATAAATCACAGTTTTATGAATGTCCATGGAGAGACTGTGGTGTATTTCCCCCATAGTTCCTCAGAGGGAAATTTGTTTGCAGTTTCCAGTGGTAGTTCTGACAATGCAAACAATTGCAAATGTTTAATTTGCATCTCCTCTCCAGTAGCTATCTGCCCTCCCCTTCAAGTACGCAGTAATTCTTCTCACATGATACCATCCTGTTTTTTACCCTGCACACATCCTGGTGCACATACGTGGCCTGAATTCTCCTCGTCTAAATAAACATTGAGGACAGATGGCTGGGCTGTATGAAGCCACATGTTTCTGCCCAGGAATTTATATGCTGGATAGAAATATGTAAAAGGATTTCCTCTACAACATGCTGTCATATTGGATTCCTATAACACATCTAAAATGTATTAATAACTTAGTGTAATAGCTATTTGTGTTGCTTGTGCAAATTATAGTGCTTTACATCAGTAAAATAATATAGAACCAGGTGCTTCTCTGGAAGATTATTCCAGATGCATGGGGCTGATAATCCAGCATCTCTATGTCTTAGTTCTACTCTGGGAAACATTGAAGAGACCAGAGTTAGAGGATCTTAGGGATCTAAAAAAAAATAAAAAGCCAAAGTCAGGTGCGAGTCCATTAGGAATATTTAAAAACCAAGAATCACAATGTCAAAGTGATTTTGAAAATAATATGGGAGCCAATGAGGAGCCTTTAAAACTTCACATTTGACTTTAAAACATTGCTGTATTTTGAAACATCGCTAGTTTGTTTAAAGATTCCTTTGGGAGGCCCAAGAACAGGGCATTACATTATTCAAGTCTGCTAGAAATAAAAGCATGAATAAATCATTTGAGGTCTTTCTTAGACAGGAAAGGTTTTACGTGGGCAATGTTTCTGAGATTAGAAAATAAATTCACTGTGGCTCGGCCTGACTGATCTCAGCAGCTGTAGATAATGTGCACAGTCACAGTAGTTAGTTTGCTTTGCACCTCATGTTTGACAAGGGAGGACCTGTACGGCTTGCTTCTAGCAATATCTCGAAGCCCTGAGAAACTTGACCTAAATTGTCATTAAATTCATTCTAGTTTCTAGAAAGTGAAAGTGAGTGTTTCTAATGCTGTTTTAGACACGTAGTGATATGAAGGAATAAATGAATTCAGCACATTTGACATTTTGAGGTCATGTGTTCAAGACCAGATGCATACACACCAGTGCATAAAGCCAGTACCTAGTATAAACGTCTTTAAACAAAAGAACAATGTTGTTAGTAGGCCTGCAAGATCGGTCTGCAGAGGAGACTGTGAGATCCAGTTCAGGAGAACATCTACAGGTCAAAACACTTTGTCTGTAAGGGCTAGTAAAAGTGGGAACAGTCTTCGTGCTGGGGTTAGAGAATGTTCTACCTTCTCTACTTTTAAAAAACAGCAAATGGTTGATCGCTAATCAAATCTGTGATCATGTATGAAATCTTTTTAATTGTTTATTTTTCCAAATGTTCTGTCTGTTGTGGTGTTAACTGCTGTTCATGCATCTTTTTAGATTGTATTATGATTCATATGAAACAATATATTTATTATTTTACTAATAACGAGGACTACAGATGGAAACTAGCTGCTAAATCTGGCATATTTACACAAAGTCATTGTGCTGTATGTGTTCATTAATATGCACTGTCCTCTTCTACATAAATGAAATTTAAAAAAACAAACAAATTGCCCCTGCACTGCCCACCCACATCCATCTGCCTCTGTACAGAAATGTCTAAGTGGCTGGATGATGGCGAAGTGCTGGTGGGTCAAGGCAGCGGTCAGGCAGTACCAGTGAGCCCCAGAGTGCGGAGCCTTCCTCCTGGGAGCCCCAGGCCCGGCCGGGGGCGCAGTCCGCTGGCTTCACCCCGCAGCAAGGAGGCAGTGCCATTAAGCCCACCAAAAGAGACCATGGGGAAGGCCAAGGAGCTGTTTGTGCTGTGTGACAAAGAGGGGAAAGGGTTCATCACAAAACGGGACATGCAAGTAAGAAGCCAATTTAATGGAGTAACAAAATTTGGACTGATTGTAAAGTGCTGAACTCTGCGTCTGCTTCTGATCAGAGTCTACAGGGGGAGTTGCCGCTCTCCCCTGAACAGCTGGAGACTGTGTTTGATAGTCTGGACCGAGAGAGCAATGGATTCCTTACTCCTGCTGAGTTCAAAGCTGGGCTTGGTGAGTGTAGTGTGTTGCCTGACTTTAGATGTATGGGCAAAGCTACAGTTAATTAGGGACATGTCATCTGGATGTTTTGTTCTTCTCTGTGTGGTGCAGGTGAGTTACTGGGACTGGAGGAGACGACTGAGCTGAGTCAAGATGAAGCAGATGAGGATGTGGACGAGACAGACTGGTCTCAGGACTCCACTGCAGTCACATTTGTCAACATATTAATGGAGCTCAGTGCTGACAAACTTTTCAAAGAGTAAGAACTCTGTTAGAAATGGATTGCGATTAAGACTGTTCACTAAGATTAGTCGCAACGATATAGCACCACTTGCAGTATATCTTTAAATATTAACCGATATCGTCCTTTTGTTCTCAGAAACTGCCTTAGGTACAAGTTATAGGGGAACTGCTTGGACTTTATGTGTTAAAATTAAAACATATGTGTTTTTGCAGAAAGAAAGGCGAAAGAAAACAAACAAACACTACAAAATGCATTTTATATTTTGTGCATTGGTTTTAGAAAGATAAACGACTGCCGATCTTCAAATCCTAGCAGTTCCATATGAAAATTGGCCATGTTGAGTAGTTTTATGTTTTATTAAGTATATGTTTTTACACCCACGGGCTATTTTATTAGGTACTAATAAATCTCTCTAAAAGTAATCTAGCACACCGGTCAGCCATAAATTCTACCTTAACACAGATAATAGTTCAGTTTTGACCTAGATAAGTATTAAATCACTTAAGAGTTTATTGCTCTTGTCTCACTCCAACCAATCAATGTCGGTCCTTGCTGAGCTCAGTTAAAGGGGAACTTTTCTCTTTACACGGTCACCAAGTGCTTGCTCAAGAGGAATGGTAGAGTTTTTCTAATGTAGTAAATTAATGTGAGCTGCTGACCTTACTATGTGAAGTGCCATCAGATGACTTATGTCCCCCTTGAATTAGTGCTGTATTAATAAAACTGACTTGAAAAGAAGGTTGGATATGCTATGCAGGTTGTAGTTGTTGCAATATAATAAAAGGTGTTTTTTTTTGGGCACCCCTATAGCTCACCTGGTTGAGCGGGCGACCCATGAACAGGGGTTGTTGTTCCCTGACGCAGCGGTCGTGAGTTCGACTTCTGCGCACGACAGTTTGCTGCAGGTCTCTCCCCATTCTTCTGCCCCCTTTCCTGTCTCACTGTCCTAACTAAAAATGGCAAAACGCCAGAAAAAGTCATCTTAAAAAAAATAAAATAAAAGGTGTTATTAATGTTTCACCCACCACTTTTACTAATAAGGGGGGGCAGAACATTTGAAACACATTTTATTGTAATGTAGTCCAGTGGAACAAACTATAACCTTAATAATATAGATGAATTTACAGCTCTCAGAAGATTTTTAAAAATCTAACCATTATAAGGATTGTAATAGGGTTGTATTCGCTTGCAGTAGATTGTAGAGGTGTACCAAATACAGTGGGCAAAAGGTGTATATTGTCCTTTCTTGGGGGAAAATCTCAAAATTGCAATGTCAAAAACTAGTTTCTTCCCCAAACAGCATTTTTGAAATGCATAATTTTTGATGTACATAATGTAATCATACAGTTTGTCATTTCAACTCATTCCCTCCCTGTAATGTAAATCAGTGGAGCCATATGGTAAAGGTTTGATGTTTTCAGTCATTTAAACACTTGTGTGCTGTGTTGTGTGTCAGTCAGCAGGAGCTCCGTTCTCTGTGGTGTGACCTCCAGAGAGACAGACCAGAGCTGCTGAGTGTCCTGGAGGGCGTCTTGGTCCAAGCAGTGTCTCATTTACAGGACGCCATCAGAGAAAGAGACAGTATGGAACAAGCTCTGCGCAGGTCACAGCTTCCTCCCACCTCATGAATCCTGCTCAGTTTAACTGTGAATGTTTGGATCGTGTTGAGTTTTTAAAATAAATTTCACTTTGATTTCCTCTGTTTTAGACGAGAGAGTGAACACGATCAGGTTGTACGCTCCATATACGAAGAAATGGAAACTCAGATCAAAGAGGAGAGAGAGAAGCACGTGGCTCAGGTACAGACAGGTGCTAGTTAGTCCAGCTGTTGTGACATCTAATGCAAGTGTTGGTTGAAATAGAATTTAATGTATTTATTGTGAAATCAAGGACAGTATTAAACAGAAGCAGAGAGGGCAAAAAGTTGAGGAGGAGCTGAGGATGCGGGAACAAGAGTTGGAGAACACACTGAGCAAACAGAAAGAGGTAGGCGTCCACATGATACTAATGCTATTTCTAAAAAGTGTCTTAATGTTAACAGAAGCTGTTTTCGTTCTTAGCTCGAGACTAGAATCCAACAGCTGAGCAGCGAGCAAGGAAACGTCAAGGAGCAGAATGAGCAACTGCGGAGACTCAACATCCAGTTACATGAGCAGGTGGAGAGCAGCAGAGAGCAGCTGCAGGTCGCTCTGAGAAAACTCAACATGATGCAAAACAGCGCTGCCCAGGAACAGGTGGCCAGACAGAGGTGAGCAGCCAAAAGCACAAAAACATGCCTGAAGCTCAACATCAGATTCAAATCGTCTCTGATAATGATAATTTTGTTTCAGAAGTGTTTCCCTCAACTGAAAGAAAATGTGTCATGACAGCTGGGATTAAAATCTCTTTTTCTGAGGGAGACGAGAAGCCACACTATTCTAAAGTTACAAATATAAAATTAAGAATGACACAAGTGACACAGAAACAAAGTAAAACACTTTAGAACATCCTAGGGGATTGAGAAAAACTAAATAAAATCCAGCTTAGGTGTTGCAGTTTGACTATTCAGTTACACATCTTTCGATTAGAACTTTGAACTCTTCCAGTGAGACAAAACCATAAAGCTGTCGTGTGTTCTGAATTTTATTCCAGGAGCAGAAGGCAAAATAGGAGAAGGCTGCTCTACCAAGTTCAAAGCAAATTCTGTAAATACTATAATTACACAAAAAATGAGCAATAAAAAGTCATGTGATCTCAATTTTTAGTTACAGACAACCTAACTAAAAGGTGATTTTGACCAGAAGAATGCTACCGAAGCCTAAATGAAGTAAAAACATTCACAACTTTATGTTACCCAAGCAAAAATACCCAAATATACAATAAACAAAGAACGATTACTGTAAACAGTCATTTGGATGTGTTTTCTCAGTTGAAAGCATAACTGACAACTATGTCCCTGATCATATTTGTAGGAGGATGATACTGCTGTAATTACAACAAATCCACAAAAAGACCAAACTAACAATATCAGTCTGTCAGCTCCAAGCTCAGTGGTTTATACTGAAGACACTTTAAAACCCATTGCTTCTATTGACACCGATTTTCATTGCAATAAAACAACATGTCAGAGGAATAGCCTATGTGAGACTGAGTTGTAGTTTTGGTCTTTTCATGGGATTTGTTTACCGTAGGAAAAATATCGAATATCACCAGATTTAAACAGCCTTTTGTTTGGCTTCCTGTAGAAATGTCATAAAGGTCTCAAGAAACATGAAGAAAGAAAAGGAGAGTCTCTTGAGACAACTGGAGATACTGAGGTCAGTCTGAACAGCCACTGTTTGCTGTTTTAATAAAGTTCTTCTAAATTAATGATTGTAATTTATCAGTGTTTGAATTCTTTTGTGTCTTCTTTATTAATTTAATCACTCAGCAATGTGACAAATTTCTCCTTTTTGTGTCAGGGACATGAACCAAAGGCTGCGAGATGAGAAAGATGCTCAACAGTCTCAGAAGAGGGTTAGTCACAGACACTCTGTCCTTCCTAATCTGCCATTAACTCATTACCTCAGACAAGATCTTTGTACCCCGAGGACACAGCACGGTTACCCACCCTAAGCTAAGTCTTGGAATAGCTTCATCCTCTGGACAATGATTATTTATATGGGCAGCTGTTATTGTTTGGTTATTGATTAATGTCATGGACAAGCTATTAGCAAAGTTGCAATGTTGTTTTTCTGTGAATGTGGTCAGTGAAGTGAACGATTTTGTCGAATAGACATTTATTCTGTCTTGTGTCAACTTGAAGGAAAGGTGTTATATTGTATATATGTTTGTTAGTCATATTGTACATCTTATGCTATTTATGCAGGCAAACTAAAGTGGGTTCAGTCTAATAAACCCTTTATCAAAGTTCTCAAACGACTGCTAATTTAGCATTTCTCCGCCACATTCTCCACGTTCTTTGTTAACGTAAAGCATTTTTGCCAAAGTTGTTTACTATCGGTATCTTTTTGGACTCTAACTTCTTGCTGGATTTCAGAACAATGAATCTGACAGAAAATGCAAAATATTGATTCAAGAAACTGTTTTGACCACAACACCATAAACGCCTGTTGGTTACATCCTGTTTTTTCCTTGTCATATAATTTATAAAAGGAAGTGTAATGTTGACAAATGACGATGATGTTAAACTACTTTGCAGCAGAATAAATGTCAAATTCATACTGCATTCCTGCTCTTTAAATGTTGTTACTGCATAGAAGACAGTGTTGACTGATTCCCTGGTTACGTACCACGTCACATCTGCACACTTAATAAGAATCTATTTACATCTATACAATCTTAATGCAACTCATTTCTTCTGCCTCACTCTCCTCGAACACCTTTCAGAATCCAAATCTCACAAAGCCTTTGCAGAAGAGAGGGTCAGTCATAGGTAACTACTTACTGCAAGACAATCCATTGAAAAGGTTTGTATGACCACCTGCGTACATTTTGTCATTTTTGCAGTAATGTGGCAGAAAAGCCACAGAAAGCCACTAATTCTGTGTATTCATTGATTCTGAAGACAGCTGAGCTCTTCTGATGAGTTGGAGCAGGACAAAAACAAAGAGGTGGCAAATTCATCCAAGAGACACCAACAGTCATGTAGAGTCAGGGGTGAAAATGTTGAACAGACCCAGACTCAGGTAGGGTAAATATACACATATGCATCAATATACTCAATTTATCCTTAAATAATCAATTTAACAACAGATGCATCATCAAGTTAGAACAATAAGGATAGTATTCTGAAGCTTTCGTTTTCTATAGATCAGTTACTGAGCACAGATTTGTCTCTTAAATGCATTAAAAAAAAATCTAGTCAAATAATAGACTGATATCAAAATGTTGTCTGGTCCCTTTACCTGCATTTTAGAGCAAAACTATCAGTCCTCAGCGAGTGTTCAAGGTGGTATTTCTGGGTAACTCAGGGGTGGGTAAGAGCTCCTTCATCCAGCACTACTGCACAGGAAGCTTCCACAGTAAAATGAGCACTACGGTCGGTAAGCTTTTCTTTTTTATCATCACAATGATTAACATGTTCCTCAGCATGTATGTAGAATGAGTATTCATGTGTATTCAAGTCAAGTATGAAACCATGGGGCTTCGTTGCTTTTAGGTATAGACTTTCAGATGAAGACTTTAACTGTGGGCTCCACCACCATCACCCTGCAGCTCTGGGACACTGCAGGACAAGAGAGGTCAGATACACCAGTTAAGCTGTACAGTCTTTGAGCAAACTTATGAAATTATGCAGCTTTTTTTGTTTTTTTTGACAAGTCACTTTTTATGGGTGTTACATTTGTTCCTCTAATTCTTCCTACTGATTTTTTTCCCCAGGTTTCGCAGCATCACTGAACAATACTACCGAAAGGCTGATGGCATCTTGGCCATGTATGACATAACTCAGTCTGCCACCTTCACAGCAGTGAGAGGATGGATGGACTCCGTTAAGGTGAGCAGTTACTGTGGATGGTTGGATGTAACAAGAACATGCAAAATCGTCCTAGTTTGAATATGCATGCAGGGTACAAGGGTGCAGCAGTAATCCTAGTAGACACTAGTGGAACTAAAGTCTCAATTTTGATTCTGCTTTTTACTGAACAGTGTTGTAAGATTTCTCCCCACTGGTGTATTTCCATTACATAATGTGTACTTGTTGCGTGTCTGTCCCAGGAGAAGATGTGTGAAGGTGCCGTACTGATGCTGCTGGGGAACAAGCAGGACTTAACAGAGAGTCACAGCAGGCAAGTGTCAACAGGAGCTGGGCGGAGGCTGGCCGAGGTAAGGAGCATTTGAATGTCCAAACACATTTCTGCAGTGATTTACACAACAATCAAATAAAACCTTTTTTTCTTCCTGGTTTCTACAGCAGCACCAGGCTTTGTTTTACGAGTGCAGTGCCAAGACTGGATGTAATATGGAGGAGCTGATGACTCATCTGGCTGGGTAAGGCATCACATTTTTTTTATTGTATGCTATTTTTTTTACTGGATAGCCTTCATGTTAGTCAGATCCTGCAGAATGTCTGTCAGCAGGGTTTTACTGCAGATTTGCTGTTTTATAAGTAAACTCAAATAAGAAACAGTTCTGTTTAAAGTTAGAACAATTCGTTGTTATTTAAACTTTTAGAGAGTTGTTGTGGTTGAGTCTAGTTTATTGTTTTACAGCAGTTGTGTTTTTTCATGCACCACAATTAAGGTGATGTTTTCAAGTGCTACAGATGTTTTGTCTGACAAACAGTGAAAACCTAAAGATATTCAGTTTGAAAAGTTAAACCAGAAAAAAACAGCCTTTTAATTCAGTTTAATTTAGTTTTATATATAGCAGGGATATGCTCCAGCCCCTGCCCCCCGCGACCCTAGTGAGGATTAAGCGGTGTATAGATAATGGATGGATATATATAGCACCAAATCATAACTTAAATTACAATTCCTCACATTTGTTAAGCTGGAGCCATTTGTATTACTGGATGAATTGTTTGAATTAATATCAGTTATCAAGATTGGTATGAATTAATTTACTGTCAATGGACTAAATAAAACTGTAACTAAATCATTTTGATTCAATATTTCTTTTTTTTTTTTTTATTTCGAACCAAAAATTTTAAGCAAAAGTCAACATTTGATACACAAAATCAGAGTTTCAGAGTTCAAAAAAGGTTTTGGAAGAAGTTCTATGTCAATAATAACTGAAATATTGACACTTTCACAGTGTCTCATCAGAATATTTAAGCACATTACACAACATACAATGGCAATACATTCTCAACAGAAATCATAAAACATGATTACATTGCTTTTAATCGGTCTCAATAGCAGCATAGCGTTTGATTACATCATCCTTTATCATTTGTTTAAATTTCCCTATTGCCCATGTTTTTATGTTCTCACTGCAGCTGTTCCATAACTGAACCCTTCTTTCTCATATTAAACTGGCAACTGAGCGTGTATTATATTTGTCAGAAACCTGAGATAAAGACGGATCAGCTTGCAAACTAAGTGCTCTTCTCAAATGTTGTGGTTTGTTCTGCTTGTTGACTTTTACTTTTCTAATTTAGGATGTTGATTACCCAGCATGATCGACAATGTGTAGATGCACTTTTACTGACTGAGGATGCGACTCAAAGAACTTGCTGTACATAAACAGGAGGTGACAACCTTTTGGAACACTAAAACCTGTCATGAGTCCCGGCTATGGTTCAGTGGAGCGATGTCGTATCCTGTGCCAATTGCTCACTGTAACCGAACACAAACAGTGGAATTTTTCTGGGAACAAGTTTACTGAATTTTACATGTAACGTTTACTGATGTTGTTATGTATGTTTATGTTACATCTAATAAAAGATATTTTTTGATGATTCCTTTCTTGCCATGTCCTTTTTTAAATGTCTGTTAAACTACACTGTTGCCCCCAGTTGAGCTCATGTGCACAAGAAACCAGCTGGGGGCAGAAAAGCTCTCTGTATAGCTTGTGAGGGGGCGAGCTGCCTGCTGTGCCAAAAGAGGACAGGCGCTCAGAGCTTGGGTAGGAGGCTCGGGTCTGACTGTCAACTGAGAACTTTCTCTGTTGCAGTTAGCCTTCAAAGACAGTGGCACATTGACACTGGGGTTAGAGGGATCTGGGAAGACGTTACCCCGATAATCTGCATCCTTCTGGGGCCCAACATCTAAAATCAGGTAGGACTATTTTGGTCTCGGCTAAAAGGGAAAGCAGTTTTTTCCATGACACAATGAGTTAAAAATAACTCAGAATGTGACCATTAGGACATTGTTTTCAGTCATATTAACATGTCAAGCTTGTGTTGCAAGCATGTGCCTACAAGTTTCTATTTTTCATGTGTTTATGATGTTATTTCTATTATCCCTTTGCCTTTTCTTGATTTGTTTAACATTGGAAAAAGAGATACTCACTGGTGAGTAGAAGTTTACCATCACCGTCTCCCATGATGCTCAGGGTCCCAACTTCTCCTAAAATAGAAGCAGAGAAAAGTTCAGTTTAGGTTATAGGAAAAAGACAGCGTTTGACGAATTAATTAAGAGTTAAAAAGTCAGTAACAGTAAATCACTGAAGCGTGAGATGATCAGCTTAAGTTACTGATATGGGGGACATATATATCTGTCTGCTGGATGGCATGTGACACGAGTAGTTAAGTATGTTTTCCCCACAACATATTTGATTTCATCTGTGAGCTCATCCCATTGCTCCGTTGTACCAGCTCGATGCAAGTTGAAAATCCACAACACATTTCAGTCTAACGTGCACGTTAGTCGAATGTAGTAACTGTGAAACCTCCACTGATATGTTGTCAGAAAAGCTCATATGTGCTGCAGCTGTGTTTCAACTCCACCCATTAAATCACCTTTTTACACTAAAGGTGGAACTAAAACAGACTGAAAGAGGAAATTCCTATATGTGGACCGCAACTAACTAGCCTCAATCAGATACGGTGCTAATACAATAAGCCTTAGCATCATGCAAGTATAGAAACAGAAAGCTGTGTGATGATAATCTTAAGTAAAGCATGAGAGCAGTGTTGGGAGGAATGGCTTCCTCTGAGAGCGATTTCACTCTCTAGGGAAAGATTCAGTTGTGCAATCTAATCATCTCCAGAATAAATCTTGGAGTTTTATACTTGCTGATGTTTTCTCCATTTGTGCATCAGCCTATAGACTACTAATGTGTTTGTTTGTTTAACCCAGAATGGAAACTCAACGTGAAAAAACACACACCTGTGGGACAATCTGTCTGAAATATCTACTTCTTCTCTTCAATTTTCTTTTCTTGGTAAGTGCAAAGATTTTCACAGAATTTAGGATGACACAAGCAGCTGTGATGAATATTAACACATAATAATTCACTTAAAGTCGCAACATTCAACCATAGAAATTAATGAGGGTTTTACTGTTTACACTGAATCACTACACAGCTCACACAATTTCTGCTGTTTCTCACGGTCAAACAATAGACTGCTCTTGCTACGGTTAATGTAGAGTCTATACATCAGAGGCAATCTAACTTTTGCTTTCTTTACTTCACAAACTCCAATTTCCTTCAGGCTTTAAGAATAAACTGATCGGTTCTTGTACAACCTTCTCCTAACTATGCACTCAGAGATTTATGTGTATTGGACGATAGCTAAGTTCGATGAGTCTCTTGAGGTTTACGTTGAATGAATGAGGCGTTGTCTTGTTTGCATCACAATCTAAGTTAAAACCGCTAAAAACATAACTGCCTGATGTGAGCATCTGGTTTCTGATAACGGTGCGTTCTGTCAGCTGGCAGGAGGAGTCGTGTTGGTGGTGGGAGTGTGGACTCTGGTGGAAAAGAGCGACTACATCAGTTTACTGAATTCCAGCTTCTACTCCGTCTCAGCTTACATCCTGATAGCTGCTGGAGTCATTGTGATAATGACCGGGATAATCGGATGCTGTGGCACTCTGAAGGAGATGAAGAGTCTTTTGATTGTGGTAAAGTGATCTGCCCTGCAAAACACAGCCTGCAAAACAATTTTTTATTTGTGCCTTGGTTGTTCCACTTCATTGCACCAAAGCTCAACGCCCCCTATTTATTTGTGTCAAATCAGAAACCAAGACACGTTGAAGTTCCTGTTTATACACACACACACACACACACCGCCTCATCTGAGTCGTGTATTGAAAGTTAATCCTTGGTGACCTTCTGTCTCGTCTGCCTACATTCAGTGCAGCTCATTATGTCAGACGTGCCTGTCAGATATAACAGACAAAGTCATGCAGAGTGTGTCTTTAAGAGTTTAGATTTAGCACGTGGCTCATGCCAGAGGAATGACGGGCATCACAAGCGGGCTGCTTAGACTGAAGAGTGTGAGAGAGACAAACACACAGTCAAAGGACATCATTCAAACCTGCACAGGCTCTGTGACGTGACGTCTATTTCCATATTCCCCACAAACTTTGCAATGGATAACTTCCTTTGCCACAGTTTCACCACTTATTCTTTGGAGTATTACTTGTTTTTTTGTTTTTTTTCCCGTCATGCACACGTATCTGCACTGCTAACATTTAGAGTTTCACTGAATGCCACATTTTAGCAGAAATAAGCACAGAAACAATATGAAAATGTTTTTCAGCTCAAGTGTATTCATTATTTCTTGTCTCTCCTCTGCAGTATTTGATCTTGTTGCTTTGTGTTTTCCTGCTGGAACTCATTGCTGGTGTCCTGGCCTACATTACCTACCAAGACGTGAGGTTTTACCTTCTATTTGGATGTGTTTGTTTACATCTGACCAAATCATGTAGTGACTAATATCAGTCCAATCTATCACTTTCAATATGAATATGAGATTACGAAGCTAGCATTTTTTTTCTTTTAGTTAGTGCTTTGTGTCATTCCATAATCCTTTCATGTGTTTTCAAATGCCATTCACTCTTTTCCAGCATTTCTATTTAAAATCTAACACCCATGCAATACCTCAGTTGCTGCGCCCTGTTGTGAAATCTGCTCCGCATGCCTTTCTGCGCGTGTTCTTCATTTGTCCTGTTTTTCCATCTTTCTTACACCTCTCTTTCTTCCCCCCTCCTTTTCCTGCTCCAGTGTTTCCCTTTCTGCTACCAGGTAATCTGCTGCCATAGTCTTTCTATTTCATATAAATCTGTTCCTCTAACAGGCTGATATAAGTTGGTTTTGTCTTCAGTCGAGCAACAAAAGCTATTTTTATTTGCAAATTCATGCGAAGAATGTTCCTGTGAATCAGGGAGTGAGGTCAGAGAATCTGTGCTCATATAATTTGAGTTATGTGTGGGCATTGCACAGGTAGACTGGAATGTTACAGGGGTGGAGAGAAACCTGACCAGTGGCTATTTTTATTGATGGGAGGGGATTTGTGGGTGACAGGTTTTTTTTCTTCCTGCACTAAAGTGCTTCTCCTGTCTCACAGCTGGATGAGGAGCTCAGACAAAACCTGAAGGGGACCATGCAGCAAAAGTACAAGCAGGCAGGAGAGGAGAGCGTCACGGATGCTGTGGACAAACTGCATCAGCAGGTGGGAAAGGATGATACTGATTTTAAAGGCAGGAAATGGCTCACATTAAAAAAGGGTAACACCACTTTGGGAAGAAGCTCAAGTTTGATGATAAATTTGAAAAACCAGTCCCTTTAGTCTGCATCATAATTTGATTGATGATGGAATTCTGTTCTCGGTACAGCTCCTCATTTGTTTTCTTTACATTGTTTCGACCTAAAATTCCTTTCTCTCAGTTCAAGTGTTGCGGTAGTCACAACTCCTCAGACTGGATGGACAATGCGTGGATCCAGTCACCCGAAAACGATCGGGTGGTTCCTGACAGCTGCTGTAAAAGTCCCAGTGAACTGTGCGGCATCAGGGACCATCCGTCCAACATCTACAAGGTGGAGGTGGGGAGAGCTCTTTACTGTCTCTGTAGACCTAAATGTTACAGTATACCAAGATTTGAATTTCTTTTCTTTTCTCGTGCTACCAGGGAGGCTGCATCATGAAATTAGAAGAATTCATCCTGAGTCAGTTGTATATTCTCAGTGCAGTGGGTATTGGGATTGCATTTTTACAGGTAAATCACTGAGCATAATATCAACATCTATTTCAATGTTGTGCAAAATGCGAGTAACTGAGCTCTGAGTAATAGTTCTGTTTGTGTGCAGTGCGGAACTAACAAGTTCCTCGTGTCTGTTTTCTTTCAGCTTGTGGGGATGATGTTCACTTGCTGCCTTTATCGGAATTTGGAAGAAGATCCGTACTGATTTTAGACATAATTTAACACATTATGAACTGTACAATGTTCCCTTCGATGTTGTAAAACCCAAAATTATTTCCACAGGCCTGTGATTTTCAGAATACACACATTAGAGACTCTGTAATGCTGCTGGACAGCACTGTTCTTTTTCCATTGCATGGGTTAATGTATCCTCCATTTTATATTACAGACAATGATATGTGGATCACCTTGCAACCAAAAACACATTTAAAGTAGACGACAAATATGAACTTGTTGTGGTTCCTTTTGCAATCAGTGTTAGTTTCGTGTGTCACTTTACACAAAACCATTCAAATCTGAAAAAATCCTACACTTCCCCCCACAGAATTAGCTTGTTTTTTTTAATGTACAATAACTACAGTATATTTATTGACGCTGCACAATACTTTACTTTCATTCTATGAATATTTTCTGAGTTACAGACTCTTGAAGTGCAAAGGAAAACACATTTGAGCTCTGTTAAAAGCTGCTAGTTTTGCTATAATTAAACCAATTTGAACTTTATTATCATGGGATCCATTAAAGTTTCAACAGCAAAACTGCAGCAGTTTATGACATAGAGTGATAGAAACAAGTACTGGAAACCTGAATGTGCACTCTGTTTTCTGATGAGTCACAGGAGAAAACTATAAAAGTGCATTTTCTATTTGGACGGGTGGTTGGTCGACATATGAGAGGTCTCATTTTTACCTACATTTTGAGATCAGGCCATGTTCATGGCATTGGGCTTCTGTGTCAAAAATAAAGTTCTAATATAGGAATATTTTGACACTTGTGAATTGCAAAATTTGGGTTCTTTGAAATAATTAAAATCATGATCATTCCCACATAATAATTTTCAGGCCCCTAGAAAAGACAAGTATGGATACCAAGATTACACATCATCAGGCTTCAATATGGTGATGGATATAAGCTGATAGTACAAACTAACAGAACAAGAACTGAACACCATCAGAGTAGAGTTTCAAAGCATTTCAAACAAGCACTTAACTTGTTTGATCACTGTGATTTGTCCAAAGTATTCTATGAAACATGTAAACACAAATGCTGTTTCTCCTTTTAACAGCCATAAGCTACTGTCACAAGTGTTAAAATATGACTATGTTGGAAAATTTATTTGACATTTGGCATTTTGATACCAGGCTAAAAGATGAGTCTGGTATCAAAATGTTGCCCCTAACGAATGCTGTTACTTGTATAAACCAACCACATATCCCATGTGGTGATATCATCCTTGAGAGGTTACCCAAAATGAACTTTTAAAAAATTCTCTCCAGTAAAGATCAGAAGATCAGAGAAGAGATAACACATTCAGGGTACCTACCGGTGCTTTTTCTATTACTCTATGTAATAGACAATAAACTGGTACAGTTTTTACATTTAGATTCTGACACCTGCAGTGGACATAAAGTTGACTTTGCTACATTTTAGGTGTTTTTCATCCCAGAAAAGTTCATGTGTCTAACCTCCGCTCAAGCTATGGGGGCTCAAAAATGGTGGGAAAAAACAACACTATTTAAAAAGTAAAGAATTTTGACCCACCCCATTGTACCTGAACAACATGCACTTCAGAAAATAGTATGACAGTACACTAAAGTTATTGTGCATAAAAAATATGAACTGATCCTGAGGGAGTCATGTAGGAGGCACTGATTTATTATTTTTCAATAATTGGCCCTTATTGCTTATTCTTTTTTTTCATGACGCACACAACAATTACCAAATATTTCATTTTAAAACGAATATAGAAAATATTTTTCTTTTTTTGTTTTACAAATAAAAGTTGCTTTGCATTTATTATTTCTCTGAATTTGTTTTTTCCAAAGGTTTTTCACTTTTATGTTGAAACGACCTGGGCGGAGGTTGTTGTCAGCTGACAGGACTTCTTCCTTTCGTATTTCTTTTGCATCGTTTCTCCCACAAACATTTCCTAAATAATTTCAAGCACACGTTAATGAAATGTCTGCGAAACCAACCTGTTTAATAGTGGCGAGTGCTTCTCCTCAAGGTGGGTCCGTTAGTTTGTAGTTTGAATGAGTTTTCTATCAGTGACAGTCCAGTTGTTGTTCATGCTCACACAGCATCACCTGCTACAGCTAGCTACACACATGTACACTCTGCTCTTTTCAGACGTTTAAACTGACATGTTTTTGGTCATTCAGGGGTGTCAGCAAAATCTTTCCATCAGTGCTTCAATCTCTGCAGCTCAGCGTTTAACCTCCAGACAGCCACACCTGGGGTAAGACTGTCTCTGCATGAAAACTAGCAGCTAGCTAGCTAGCGTCAACTTCCCTATCTGACGTAATCACGTTACTGCGTCAGGCGGTTACGCACTGGTGTCCATGGCAACTGCAAAGGAAATTTTATTTTATTCTTTTTTTTTTCTAATGTAACCATGTTTTCCTAAAGCTTTCATCAGAATTATTTGCTATTATTTATCACCAGAATATCACTATAAAGTATATTTTTACTGAAAGTGTAAAGGAGGGCTCACATTTACACTTCAGAGGAGTTGCCACTGTGGAAATCATTTTTCCATAAATACTAAAAAGAATATTTTTTAAAATCCAAGTTGAATCCTTCGTTTTTCTTGTTTTGAAATAAGTTTTTTTTTTCAAATCATATTGTGAGTGTTTTGACACATTGCAGTATGAGTTCTGATTTTACTGGAATTAAATAATTGGATTTCTTTTTCATCAAGAAATTATATAAATGATAATGCTGCTGTCTGCACCAAACAAGCTTAATCCCTATTGTCTGGAGATTGTGATTTATAAGTCAGGGAATCTCTATCCCCACAGTACTCCATGTAAAACAATGTGTTGTGACACATTTTACCTTTTAGCAAAATGTTCCTGTTCCTTCGATTTGGTTATTGCACTCACCCATACTGCAATTTTGATGATATTTTTGATTAATTGTTCAGCCACAAACAAAATCACCTTTTTTTGGCAGAGCATCCAAGATTATTTGAGCCCTGGACTGAAAATGTTTACCAGTAGTATAACCAGCATTTATTATTATCCTACTATCTGAAGAATATGTAAAAGAAGGTTGAATAATCAAGCTGTATTTGTAGTAATAGTCCTGGAATACAGGCTCAAACTGTAAGAAAACTCTATTTCAAACACTGGATTTATCATTAGTAAACTTTTGATCTGTGAGATCATTTTAAGATGCAACCAAATTCTTGAAAACATTAAATATTAAAGCTTTTTTCCTGGTCAAGTCAACACAATGTAACCTCAGCACTTGATATGTTACTCAGAGGTGGTGCTTAGCGTCTCTTTGAATTGCAGGGGAAGCCAATAGACTTTATTGGAGTCGACGAAAGCACAGCAAGATGGGTGCAGGACTTCAATGTGAAACCCTACGCAACACCAGCCAAACTTGAATCTATAGATGGTGAGAATATTCATTTCATGGTAATTGGCTGTTCTCACATCTGCTGCTGGTGGGACTCTGCTCAGTTATGTCATGACGACCCTTTCAAGGTGCCCGATACCAGGCGCTGCTCATCCCGGACTGCCCTGGAGCGCTGAACGACCTGGCACACAGCGGCTCTCTGCACCGCATTCTCACGCAATTCATCTCGCAACAAAGTGAGTCTAATTTTAAAATCTGCATGTCTTTTGTAACAACTTGATTCACGCTGGTTTTTATCTCTGTGCAGAGCCTGTGTGTGCAGTGGGACAGGGAGTGTCAGCGCTGTGTTGTGCCACTGAAGGACAGAGATGGATTTTCAGTGGCTACAGCTTAACAGGGGTTAGTGATCTTAGGACACACGAGATAAAAAATACCTGAAAGTGTTTATCCAGTTGCCATGTTTTCACTATCTGTTTTTCTTAAAAGCCATCAGTGTTTGAACTGGTGCGGAGACCTGACTTTGCCAACCTGCCCTTGATTGTAGAAGACTTTGTAAAAGACAGCGGTGGATCATACACCGGTGAGCCCACCTGCAGAGCACAGACACTAAATTAACAGAGTAAAACACTTGTTCATCATCTCTAAAAACCATTTCATGTTCATCTCTGTTTTTTTCCAGCAAGTCAAGAAGACGCCCTGCACATAGTCGTAGACAGACATCTAATAACTGGACAGAATATGCAGTCGACCTCACTTGCTGTAAATAATCTAATCCTGCTCTGTACTGCCAAATAAAAATAACAGGTAAAAACGACACCCGGAGCACTCAATTTCAACAGCTTGGTTGTCCCACATTTATATTCATGTAAGTAAACAAACACTTATCTTGAACAAACATTGGAAGATGCTGGGTCAGAGCAGATGTTTGGCAAAACTGCAAATACAACTTCATTACTTGTCAATGTTGTTATTATAAAACTAAGAAAAGCCACACAATTTAATGTCTTGATTTGAATATTAAAAAAAAATGAGCAAACTGTGTCAGGAGCAGATGTATTCTTGATGATGGATGAGTCTTTTCAGCGAGCACAGCTGGTTCCGAGAGCAGAGATGATTTCTGGCTTAGTACTGACAAGATGCTGCAGGTATGTATGGCACATGAGCTCCAAAGTCCTTTGAACAACAATGAACCCCTTTCATTTAAAATGTATAAACACCGATGATGATCATGCACCTTTTGTTGTTGAATGCAGATGTGTTGCTGCACTCTGATTGGATTATATATGTTTTTTCACAATGAGAAGAAATACACTGAAGTACCTATCGTTTTCTCCAAGAGCGTTATAAATCAACAAACCTCTGCGTCGTACATTTAGACAAGATTTCTCAACACTTTCATGACTCTCAAACAAGCTGTGTATTAACTAAACCCTGTCAGTGGCTCATTTCAGAGTGCATTTCGATTGCTCAGAGAGAAAAATACAAAAAAAAATAAAAACCTGTATTCACCACCAAGTTCTTTGAAAAAGAAAAATCCAATATCCACAGTCTTCAACAAGTCCGGCTCTCATAGAAGATCATAGAAATAATCAAGTCCTTGTCCCAGTTCCCATAAGGAAATCCCCGTTCCCAGTTCAGTAGCTAAAGCGATCCTCTGGTAGATCGACTGTAAAGTAATTAACACAGTGTTAATCTCAAATCACTGGTAACAAATAGTCATTGTTGCTATCATTACTTTTAACTCATAAAGTCAGGACTTTTACCTTCAGTGATGGATAGTACACCACATGCTTCACGGCATTGTTCCTGACATGAGAGGGAAGGGACAGATGTTGTTAATGGAGGCTCCTGGGAGTTTCAGAATCAAGCCATATGTTGTTGATTCAACGTGTTACTAAATTCGTACCTCTTGTAGCTGAAATAATGCTCTGCAGAATATTCATCCCAGACGAGTTTTGGCCTGTGTTCTCGCAAAATGTCGATGTACCTGCCAGAAATCAGACAAAAGTAGAGCGTTAAAAACCTCTCAATTAGCATTTTGCTTTCTCAATGTAACAGAAAGCTTAGTTTTCTTCCAAAGTCTGAAAAGTTTGGGTTATTTCACAGAGAATATGTATGTGTTGCTTTTGGTTCAATGAGGGGAGGGCTTCATTGGAAACAGGTGATGTCACATACTTCTGTGCAACAACAAGAGTTTAGCAACATTGGAGTGAATACCTGATAACAGCTGTGGAGTTGTTGCCTGATCAGTGTCACTCAAACCTAATGAAACCACACCCCGCGCAAACATTTTTCCCTCCGCCAAACTTGAACTTTGAGTATTGTCGAACTGGTCTTGAATATTTTATGTTGAAGAGAAAATCCTTAAAGGGCAATCCACTGATTTACGACTGTAAAAAAAGGCTTTTGTTCCTGCAGAGGCAGCTTTGTGAAATGCTATAAATTACAAGTCACATGAGCATCCATTGGGTTTAAAGGCTACAAGTTTGAAAATGTAAAAAAATACGCATGTGTGGCGAGTTAGAAAAATGTGAATGGACCAGACCCCTGTAGCCTGTTCCTCACTTACAGCCCACATTGAGGAACCACATCAAGGATTAGCTGCTACGAGCATAACACACCTCAGACTATGCGGGCACTGGAGCTGCATTATGGGTGATGTGGGAATCAAGTTTTGACAACAAGAAAGGTGTATTGAGTGAAAAGACTTTGGCCCCTGGTCTCACACAACCAGATCTATCGCCACAGAATGGTGTCGTTGCTGTAGAATGGTCTGGCTGTACCTCATTATCATCCTGCGACAGGGAGGGAACAAAACCTTTGTTGTGTTTGTGACTGGTTTAAAGAACATCATCAAAAGAACCAAGCAGGCCTGCCTTGTTGTGTCATATCTTCAGCAAACTTACTGTTTTCAGCTTATAGGTTGCTGCTAACAAGCTGTAGTGTACCATAGCTGAGGGGCTTTTTAAAACAACAACATGAAGACGGTGAAAGGGGAGAGAAACCGAGTGAAATGTTCAGTGGAAATGACAGGTTTATACCCAAAATCAGCACAATGAGTCAGAATATTCTTAACATAGTGCACAGCATTTACTGCCTGCTTTTTCTTTCAAATTCTGAGTAGAAAAATGTTTTCTTTTATAGTCCCTTCAAGGACAAATCATTGGAACAAAAAAAAAATGTGCCTGTGGCATGTATCCTAAAATGCAACTGAGGGCCAAAATGACCACAGAGCATCTACACACAAGTCAGGGATGACGCAAAATGCAATACGTGTCAAAAATCTCAATCTGCTGCCCACTATGAAGTAAACTACTGATTGTCTGTTATGTAGGAATGCGTGAAGAAGACATCTCTGATTCTGCAGCATTCATTTCAAACATTTTTTGTAAGTCTTAACAATGTTGTCGGAGGGTAATGCTGAATTCATGAAACAAAGATTCAAACAAATGAAACCTTAGCTGCTAAAATGTAGAAAATATTCCCTCAGTAGTCACAGTATTATCTTACCTTCCCCCAAGGATCGGTTCTGTTCCTTGGCTTGCAAAATCAATGCCATACAAATTGAGACCAAGTAAGATCTTTTGCCTCCACTGGGTGTTTGGTGCAAGCTGGAGAATACAGTCTCTCACCCAGGGCAGGGGAGAGCTCGGGCCTGGTCTGTTGAAAAACAACACAAGTCAGAATATCATCTTCCTTTCTGCTGTGAATCTTCCTGTAGCTGTGAGTCAACGTTTCCATTTCTATCAGAAATATATGGACGTCACTTGTGCCTGTGCACTCACCTGGAACCGCTGGAGTAGTCGTATGTCATGAGGCTGAATCCATCGACGACAGGAGCCAACTGCTCAAACTCCTCCCTGCCAAACATACCCGGCTGCCCCGTACTGACAAATGTGAAAATGAAAAGAATTGTTCAGTATCAGTCACATTGATTTTTTTTTTTTTAAGCATTTACAGCTGCAGAATACAAAAGTGCTTCATTCACCTTGTCACAGCAGGTGGAATAACAAGAATGCAGTCCAATCTTTTAGCTTTCAAAGTCTCACACATGTGTTTTACTAAATGGACCAGTTCCCTGAAAGGAAAAGAGGACAAATATTTGTTTACTAAATCATCTCAGCCAAAAAAAGAAATAGAGTGTTCAATACTGGTCTGTCGATAGAAGAACCCACTTTCTTTTGTTGCCTCCCAGCTGGCTCCACAGCTCAAAGGTGAAGCCATCGAAACCCTCAGTCTGCAAGGCCACAGTATTCACATTAGATGGACAGGGAACAAGCACAACTCTGTTTCAAGGGAATTAAAGAGAAACGGCTGAATTACCTTTGCAACATCCACCAGCTCACCGCCCAGCTCCTCAATTTCATCCTCACTTCCCAGCACACTCATATAGTCCTGGTAGGACCAACCATCAAACAACAGCCGAGGCACTGAAGGTCAAAAATGAAAAAAATGAATCAACTCTTCCATCTGAACTGACACACATTAACAGATGTGAATTTTCTTGTGGCCAGTGAGGGAGGAAGACATCGACTCACCCATCCTGACTTTTTTGTTAGACTTGCGTACAGCCTTGACCCAGCCTGAAAAGACAAAAAGATCATTTCAACTGATGCACATTAGTCATTGACACTTTCAATAGGTGATAAAATGAACTAAAGAAGTCCAACCTGACTTGTCAGTGATGTGGATCACTTACCTGGGTCGTGATCGTGGAGTCCCGTAACATCAAACGTTTCAGGTCCTCGTCGGCGAAGCTGAAGCCACACCGGAGACACTGATGTTAGTTTGGAGCCAAACATCTTGGCAACGTCATAGCCGTGGGAATTCCACTGCAGGAAGGAAAAATTCAGATACTAGGGGTCATCCAATGTGGTTTTTGCAGGACAAATATCAAATATTTGTCATCAAGAAGACCGATACTTGGAACTCATGCACACCTGAGGTAAAAATAAAATCTTGGCATCAAAATTTACACAACAAACTCCAACAAATAACTTTGTTTAAATGTCTTTGTTTTTTTATTCAGGATACCACAAAACTTCACTTCTTTTTTCTCAATACTTTCATTTCCTGTCCATTCAACAGCAGAGTGTTTCCTCTTGTGAACAATCAAACACACCAAATTTAGAAAGACTGTTTCACACATACAGGGCCCAAAGTAAAAACTAAATGCAACAAAAGTGAATATATGTTTATGTCAAGGAGAACTTTTCAACATTTATCCTTCAGTGTTTCAGGGCTGCAACATAAACCCAATCAGACAGTGCTGTGGACAGGATATTGCTCAAGACTACAGAGCGATGGTAGAGAGAGAGGCGGATGTATAAAAGCTAAAGCAGCGCCTTTTTTAAATTATTTATTTCATTCAGAAATCAATTTAAAAAGAAAACAATAATAAGAAAAATACAAAAGGCCTGACAATTGGCCAGGCTGCTAACTGATTGACCCCTACTCAAAACAGACACATGAAACGTTAGAGAACATCCTGCTACTGCCGTCATCCCTCCTCTCCACACTACGCTAGAAATGTTACCGTCCTCCAGAGTGAGCACTGGGGGGCACTGAATAATTTTAAGGTGGTAACTAATGATTACTGTCATGCCAAACTGCTGATCACTATTATTCAAATTATTATATTATTGTTAGTAGTAGTATTCTTAGTCATTGTTTGTTCCTTCAAACCTCAGTAAACAGTGAAGAGACGCCCATCATAAAATCTCAGAGCCCAAAATGTTTTGTTCAATAGCCAGCCTGTTACTAACAGATTTTAAATTTGCCATCGTACCTGACAAGAAAAAGCATCAAACTGAAAAACCTGGAGCATTTTCTGTTAATTGTATGATATTACCTCTATGCAAACACACATTAGCAGCTGCCTGCTTCATTTAACAACCTCAAACTCAGGAAGCCAAGTGACCTTTCCAATGCATTTTGCAGACTTAGAGGAAGCTGAACTTATCTTTTACAGTGTTGTGATAACAGTGTCTTATCAAAAGCTGAATAACAGCAGCAGCAGGACAGACTGGAGACATGTTGGTGAGTGGATTCCAGACTTACAGGTGTGACATATCCAAGCACTGGACCTTGAAATGTTTTCTTAATGTGGACACAGTGCCTCTTCTCCTCCTTCACTATGTCCTTCCAGTGCAGGTCTGACAGCACCAGGCCTCTGTCCAGCACCGACTGCTCAGCTGGAGATGTCTAACCAGAGAGAGCAAACAGAAACAGTGACAGATAACCATCAGCCTGGCAGGACACATGCAGGATAGGGGGCCTCTCCCTGAGTCTGGATATTTCAGGTAAGTCCAGTGACATACCAGGAAAACTACATGACAACACAGCTCTCACCCATCCAAAGGTGAAGTTACTCACCTCAGCTTCAGCTTTGTGCGACTTCTTTGCATCAGTTTTTGAAAGTGTGCCACCGACCAGCCAGCAGCACGAGAAGAAGACATGCAGCAACACCAGCGTCGTTCTCATTTCCAAAAAAATAAAAGAGCAGCAAAATAAAAATAAAAAAATAATTTAAAAAAAAGGGGCTCTCTCAGGTGTGCAGGTTTGCGGTGCAGTCGCTTCCTTCCTGACTGAGCTGAGGCACATTAAACAGCAGCATGTCCGCCTTCAGGTCCGACAACACGCACAGCGACGACTCGGTTCATGCCGCTGCAACACACACACACACACAACCTGGAATTACGGTAAAGTCTCCTGACTGTCGCTCGGTTGGTGCCCGTTTGACTGAAAAACTCAGATCAACGTGTTTCTGAGCGTCAACGAACCCGGTAACGTAGACGGGTTTTTTTTGTGTTTTTCAAAATAAAGGTTGAGTGTGAGCGGGAGAGGTCAGCCGAGCAGACAGGAGGCGCTGTGGCTAGCATGTTAGCACGTTAGCACGTTAGCACGTTAGCCGAAGAAGACAACATGAGCCAAACAGACACACTGGTGTCATGTTGTAGAAGATATTACCAGATATTTCTTTATTAACTAACCATAAACTTCGCTTTTTTTGTCCTGCTGTGTCGGTGTCTCTTCAGATATTCCACGGTGAGTGTCTTTCTGTCTTGCTAACTGTAGCTAAAGTAAACTGAGTGTTGTGCTGTTAGCTAACATGTCAGCATTTACCTCTAACATACATTTAGACTACTAAGCTGTGCCCTGCTCGTGTTTTAACTTGTGTTTACTTCAGACGAAAAGGAATAATACTGTTTGAGTGTTAAAACCTTGGCATGTATGAAACATAATGCACCACAGTGGAGTATGTATGGGCTACGAGAAACAGGTGTATTAAGAGTTAAGGTTGAAACCACAACATGAGTCAAAAGTTCTGCATAGAAAGATGTCAATAAAAAAAAAAAAACAATTAGCAACACATTGATCCTCGTGACATTTGTAGATGTATGAAGGAAGTTTATGATCCAGCTGTATGGTCCTGTGAGTAATGCAAATATGTACAGTCATCCTCATATGTATTCATACCCTCCCATTAAAGAAGGAAATAAACAGCTGCCACTGAAATAAGTTGAAATGGACAAAAGTAATAATAAATAAAAATTTAATGGAAAATCATGACATTGCTTTTGAATTGTGGTTCAAGAGAAATATATATCTATATTTTTTTAAAAGCAAACAAGCATGAGCATGTTGACAGGTATTTTGATTTTGGCCCACTGCTCATCAACAAAGTGCTCTAATTTGTCCGGCACAGTTTTATATGTTTTTTAAAATTATTTCTTTCAACCACAATTCAGAAGCAATGCCGTATTTCACTAAATTCTAATTTAGAAAATTTCTATTTATTATTACTTTTTTCAGTTTCTAGTTATTTGAGTGACTATTGTGAATTTTGCTTTTTCTTTAATGGAAGAGTATGGATAAATTTGAGGACGACTGTACAGTATTGATTCAGTTTTTTTGTACTACAAACAAAAGAAGTGGCATAAAAAGTACAACATTTGCCTCTGGAATATAGTAGGACATCTAAACATAACAAAGGTACAGCCAGGTTACATTTGATGAACTTTATAGCTTTATAGCTGACTTCAGTCTGTGCAGAACTCAGCTGTCAGGCTTTTAATCAGAGCTAAGAGATGCAAGCTCATATCTCCTGTTTCAGCATTTTTACGTTGGCTCCCAGTAGGTTTTAGGATCGATTTTGAAATTGCTAATCCTTCCTGGTGTCTCTCCTGTTTATATAACTGATGTCTTAGTCAGGGGACAAAGCGTTGGCAGTCTGGGTCCCAAGGCTCTGGAACAATCTGCCTGGGGAAATCAGGTCGCCTGAGACAGTGGAGTCTTTTTATTATTTCAAGAATAAAGGGAAATACTTGGTCAGATGAAGTACCGATACTGTTCTTAAGTATATCACTTGAAATAATGTTTGTTTAATGTTTGGCCCTCTGTAATGGGGCTTTTAAATGATCCATAAATTATACTATGTAGTCCATCAATCAAATGTAACCTTGTGTGTATAAAATTAAAACTTAACAGTAGTTAGTAACTCGAGACTCTTCAGTTTTCTGTTGTCTGGAGATGAAATGGTTTGATAACTAATTATCGTTTTGCTCTTTTAGTGAAAGATGGCATTGGAAAAATTTGTGTCCACAACACTTGAGCTTCTACAGGAGGAGCGAGAGGCTGAAATAGAGGAGACCAGGTATGTAGATGAACACAGAGGCTGTCGTAATTTTGCAGACAAAGGGACACTCCCACGAATGCAGTTTTGTTTTTACTTAGGAGGAGACACATTAAATGAGATATTACATTTTTACTCCCTGGTGTGGATCAGGCTCCAAACACTGTCCATGCATGACATGGACAAATCAATAGATGCAGACATAGACAGTAAAAATGTGCTTTTTTCATGACAAACCTTCCTCAGAGCCTGAGAAGATATTATACATAAGTTAACAGCCTGAGTTTTGGTCCTCCAGACAAGTAAATCAACCATTATGTGCAAAATTTGCGGCTTTTTCCTTGTCCTTAGAGAGATGATTGCACAAGTAAGGCAAGGCTTTGGCCTCATTCTACAATGTTTTCCCCACAAAGTGTTAAACAACTAAATCTTCTGTTATTCATTGTCCCTACAAATGTGTCATTTTTGTGCACTCAGAATATGGCAGGAGAGCATTTCTCTGAAGGATCTTGAAAATAAAGGAGTTTGCCTGCTGAAACTGCAGATAGGAAGTCAGTCTACCGGCCTGTACGGTCGCACAGTCATCATTCTAGAGCCAAGAAAGCATCTCGGTTTCTCTTCTCTGCCGAGCAACAACTTTGGACCTGGTGAGAAAGAAGAATAAAACATCTATGTTTTTGGAATTTACTTGAAGTGTTTGAGGTTATACACTGTGTGTCTTTTGTTGCAGGTGATATAGTTGGTTTGTATGACACATCTGGATGCAGTACAGCCTCGCAGATCTGTACAGGGATAGTGACAAGGGTCAGTCAAGCATCTGTAAGTGTGGCCTTCGATGACTTGAAGGATGGCCTCAGTTTTGATACAGATGGTCTTTACAACCTCCTGAAGTTAGCAAATGATGTCACCTACAAACGCATGAAAAAGTGAGTAACATCTGCAGTTTAAACTTTCACAGAGCGTGGGGATGATTAAACCTTGAAACATCTTAATTTCACTGTGTTTTGTGCTTGTAGTGCCTTGAATGCACTAAATGGATACAGCAATGGACCAGCTGGCAACCTGGTAAATGTTCTCTTCGGAGATTCAAAACCTTCTTCTCAATCACAGCCAAGTAAGTAAAGCTTTACAAATAACTGTCCTTCTGGTTTTTCTTCTGAAATTGTCGCTTTGAATGTTTTCACATGATAGTTTAGAAGGCTGTTTATGCAGATTTTAAAACTTAAAAACCCAAATTGATTATGTTTCTGTTTTGTTTCTTCAGATGAGGTTGAATTCTTTAACTCAAACTTGGATGATTCCCAAAGAGAAGCTGTGTCCTTTGCTCTGTCTCAGAGAGAACTGGCTGTGATTCATGGACCTCCAGGCACCGGAAAAACCACCACTGTGGTAGAGATCATCCTGCAAGCTGTCAAACAAGACCAAAAGGTGTGTAAAGCTGACTTTATCTGTGTATATCAAAATGTTTAGTCTCTACTAATTAGTTAAAATGTATCAGTGTGTCCTTGTGACCGGTTGTTGCTTTTATCATTGCAGCGTCTCAGTCTAGACACTTTTATTTTAATAAATGTGCTTTTGTGACTCTGCAGGTCCTCTGCTGTGCCCCCTCAAATGTGGCTGTGGATAATTTAGTGGAGAGGTTAGCCCGCTGCAAGGCCAAGGTCCTGAGGCTGGGTCACCCTGCCAGGCTGCTGGAGTCTATACAGAAGCATTCGCTGGATGCCATCCTCGCCCAGAGTGACAGTGCAAACATCATCGCTGACATCCGTAAAGACATCGATAAAGCTTTTGTGAGTGTGTTAGCATCAGCTCCTACGAGCATGCCAGTCTAGTGCCTCGTTGAAAGATTTGTGAGCTTTGATGTATTTTTTTTTTTTCAAAGATGGGAATGAAGAAGATGCAGCAAAAAGGAGAGCGGGTGAACTTCAAACGAGAAATAGGGGAGCTGAGAAAAGAGCTGAAAACCAGAGAAGCAACCGCCATCGCCCAGATCCTTAAGAGTGCTGATGTTGTGTTATCAACCAACACAGGTCAGCAACGGCCTCGAGTAAGGAAAATGCGATTCAGTTGTAGCAGTGATGATGAAAAGCAATCAGAGAGCACTTGTCTGTGTCTGCAGGTGCTTGTGATGACGGCCCTCTGAAGTTCCTGCCAGCAGAGCATTTTGATTGGGTGGTGATAGATGAGTGTGCTCAGGCCCTGGAGAGCAGCTGCTGGATCGCCCTGCTTAAAGCACGCAAGTGCATTCTGACTGGAGATTACAAGCAGTTACCACCTACTATCAAGTCACAAAAGTAAAAATACAAGTTTTCTTCCCATTATGCATTCATGTGTAAAAAGGATTTGCTATTCATCCAGTGATAACCTGTTTTTTTTCCCCCAAAACCGAAAAAATGGCCCTCAAAAAAAAAATCCGAAACAATTTTCCAAAAAAATAAAAAATTAAGAACAAAAAACAAAAAACGGGGTTAAAGGACAGGTTCACATTTTTTTCAAATCTGTCTTGAACACAAGTCTGTTGCTCTCATGATCACTAAAACAGGTTTTGCTTTGTCTAATCACTGATTATGTTTGCACTGGCCATGAAGGCATCTCTTACTACTGTACTTTTAGTACAAACAGTGATGAAAAATAACAAGTTACATTTACTCATGTGCTGTACTTGAGCTTTAAGGTATTTGTACTAGTATTTCCATTTTTGGCTACCTCATGATTCCGCTGCACTAAAGTTCAGAGGCAAATATTGTACTTTCTACTCCACTACGTTTATCTGGAAGCTTTGGTTACTTTATAAGGTGAAGATTTTACACAAGGAGATAATACAACAAGGTTTTAAAACACAGCACATTGTAAATGATTAAACCAGTGGTTTCCAACCTTTTGGCTTCTGACTTCTTGCAAAAAGCAGAGCGTAGTTGGGCTCTCATGTCAGATGTCTAAGTTGTTAACAGCTCCATTATCTTATTGCATCATTTTAGAGTACTTAACGTACTGTGTTTTTTTTTTTATGTTGCCCATGCAGGGCTGCATCAAAAGGCTTGTCTCTGAGTCTTATGGAAAGACTTATCCAGATGTACGGAGACTCTGTGGTCCGAATGCTAACAGTTCAATACCGCATGAACAGCGCCATCATGGACTGGGCCTCCAAAGAGATGTACCAGGGACGACTAGTCGCTCACAGCTCTGTAGAGAGACATTTATTAAAGTAAGAATCCACTTGGAAAATATCTCACATTTGCATTTCAATGGAGGATGACTCTTATAAATAAAATAAAAAATTGTTGTCCTTGATCCAAACAGAGATCTAGCAGGAGTCACCAGTGTCGAAGAGACCAGTGTGCCGCTTCTTCTTATCGACACAGCTGGGTGTGGTCTCAGTGAAATGGAGGTCACAGATGAGCAGTCCAAAGGCAACCAAGGTTAAAATGTTTTGTATTACATAAAAACAGAATGTTTTTACTGCTTGTGCCGTATGAGATTTAACAGTGTGTTTACTGTTTCCTCAGGCGAGGTCGACATTGTTGAACTGCACATAAAAGCACTGACTGAAGCTGGGGTCAAAGCCAAAGACATTGCTGTTATTGCTCCATACAACCTACAAGTAAGGCACATATTTAAGTACGGCTAAAAAGAGTCTCACAACAGTTTCTTGGAGCTCAAGGTGCTGCTATCAAATTACCTGTTTTGTTCAACCAGCGGTCCAGAGGATATAAAATATTTAATCTACCATCAAATATGACTGGAAGTAACAGCAAATCCTCCAACATGAGAAACTAGAACTGAGGAATATTTGACATTTTTACAATCAATTGTCAAAACAGTTCTTGTTTTGTGGAACTGCATTTTAAAATATCTATGAACTGTTGTAAAACTGTCTATAAGTTATAAATAAAAAATAATTCAAAACTGCACCTTGATTAAAAAATAACCACCCAAACCTTGAAAACTAAAAAGAAAAAGGATCAAACACTTCTTTCTTAAAATAATTGAATATTGTAGTGCTAATGTTTTGCTTTTGTTTTTTTTCTGTCTGTTAAGGTTGATCTTCTGCGTCAGAAACTTTCTGCGAGGCATCCAGAGCTGGAGATAAAGTCAGTGGATGGATTTCAGGGCAGAGAAAAAGAAGCTGTTGTCCTGTCGTTAGTCCGGTCCAACAGAAAAGGTCATTTCTGAATGTGAAATCTTCTTCTATGACATCAGGAACAGTAAATGTTTTTCAATTGTAACTGAATAATTTTATCATTTATTTCAGGTGAGGTCGGGTTTCTGGCAGAGGACCGAAGGATAAACGTTGCTGTAACACGTGCAAGACGCCACGTCACTGTCGTGTGCGACACACAGACCGTCCAGAATCACGCTTTTCTGAAATCCCTGATCGATCACATGACTGAGTTTGGCGAAGTCAGAACAGCTTTCGAGTACATTCAAGATATCGTGCCACAGAACTACACTCGCGACCACAAAGAAACAAAGACTGCATCTGACAGCACCTCCACATCTACCAAACAGAAAGTCAAAGACAAGCCTTCCAGTAAGGCGAAGCCGGGACAGAAGAAACCCACTGGTAGCAGCAGTAAGGAAAATACTGCTGGTGAGAAGCACACAAAACCCTGCACATCATCACAGACAGAACAAGAGCAGAACAAGAGCAGATATAATGAGATCAGACAGCAGGTGGAGAGCTTCATGAAGGACCTAAACCAGAGGGAGCTACAGTTTCCGTCATCATTTAACTCTCATGACCGCCTGCTGGTCCATCAGATCGCTGAGGAGTTGGGCCTCGTCCATGAGAGCAAAGGAGAGGGCAGCGGCAGATGTATCACAGTCTCCAGGAGTCACCTGGAATCAACACCAGCTGAGGAACCGACGCCTAAAGAAGAAGCCCAGGAAGAAGAAAAAGTCCCAAATCCTCAAAGCGAGCCGTCATGTCCACCTGCATTAGACCTGAAAAGTTTACATTTGGAGAGAATGAAGAGGGAGCAGCAGAAAAGGGAAGAAAACGCTCAACAAAAAAAGCAACAGAACCACAATCCTCCAGCTCAAGGCCAGTCGTCCAAGAAAGCCAAAGGTCTGCATCAGAGACATCTAAGACAAACTTCTAAAAGTGTTTTCTTACACGTCTGTAACAGCTCAACTTCACATCTTATTTTCTTCTTCCAGGAAAGAACCGTACGAAGGCTGGAGCCTGCGACATCGCTGCTGCCGCTGCTCCAGACGATGACTTTGACACACTGATCAGCGCCGTCATGAAGGCTGACAGCGTTTGTAGCTTTGTCAAGTGTAAAGCGTCCGTGCTGACACTTGGACAGCTTTGCCTGTTCTGCAACAGGCAGTACTGCCTCAGTCATCATATACCAGAGGTACGTGGCCAACCTCCGCCAAGCAGTGTTTGGTTTGACACTATGTAGGTGTGATTCATCTGACATGATAACACATTTGCTACTAAAATGCATCGACAACAGCAGGAGAAAGATTTAAAAACACTGATATTTTTATTTAACTATTCTCTGTTTTTCCCAAAAATCTGATTGTCATGTTGTACACACTTTTTAGGTTCACGGCTGTGGAGATAAAGCCAAATCTCACGCTCGGATGAGAATTAGCAAAGAGGGCGTTCTTTATGCCGGGAGTGGGAAGAAAGACAAATCCATGGACCCTAATAAGAAAGCATATCTGCAAAGAAAACTGGACTCTAAACTGAAAGATATGGCATCACAGAGGAAACAAAAAAACAAGGAGGACAGTTAATGCCACAAAATCAACTCTATGATTTAAAAAGTCTCTTTGATTAAACAGTTGACACTTAAAATGTTTGATTAAATGTGATCTTCTGACACGCACCGGCGTGGTATCATACCTGCATGTGTGAAACATTTGTTCAACAAATCAAACCCATTATAATTATTCACAGCTAAAATTGTTCCTTGTTTTTGTCACTCCTAATATCAATAGCACACACTGTAACAGAACATAAAGCCTCTCCATCTACCGTCTGTGAGGCTATTCTACATCCACTTTTATCGTCATTGGACAGATCGTCAGGCTCGCGTTTTTCCCGTTTGTGCACAGTCCAGGGGAGAAGTAGGGGAAAATCCTCTCTGTAAATTTGTCTTTAAACGTGTGTATCACAGCCAAATCAGCAGCATTGGTGAAAACTACCTTTCCTTTGTCACAGTCCACCTCCACAGTAATCCTCTCGGGCTTCTGCTTCGTCACCAGCTTGGTGCGAGGAGACGTCTGAGCCCAGAATGAGTCTCCATTGCACAGGCCAATTACCCAGAAACCCTCGGAGGGGTTGAGGAAGATGGTGCTCTTTCTTTTGATGGACTCTTGGGCCACTCCGATGTACCAGTCTGTGCCTCGGCCCACGTCCACGGTCCAGCTGTGCTTTCCAGATATAAACCCATTGGCTCCCAGCGCGCACACACGGCTGGTGCAGCGTTCAGGGTTGTCGGGTAGAAGCTGCTTGCTGCTGTACTGCACACAGCTCAGCTCTTGAGAGAATGCTAAGTTGGACTGGGCCGTGTTTGGATCCAGAGTGATGGGGACTGTAAAACATTAAGTCCAGGAGATTGAAAATATTACACACCTTTAGAGTAAACTTTAACACGCAGGCAACTGTGTGTTTGCTCACCGTATTTGACAACGGTGGCCATCTTCTTCCAAATTCCAAACTTAAGTTGTCCCAGATGCTTTGCAGAATTTATCAGAATGCCTCTGACACACTCTGGCTCTCGAATGTTGGATTTGGCCCTGAAACATGTTGAAATAATTACAACAGTGTCTTATGGAAGCAGTTGGTGCTGAGGTTAGCAGGTACTGAGGAATGCATACCCTTTCTTTGTCAGCTTGTAGTCCTAAAGATGAAAAGAAATGAAGAAATACAGGTCAGTAAGGAAATATTGCATCAGACAAAACATCACAGCGTGTACAAAAGAACACAAATGAGCTCCAACTCTCCATTCAAGAAGAAGGCAAAGAAAACTCTGTCAAAGACACATAAATTCTGAAGAGTGCCAATACAGAGGCAATAATAAATCACATATTGTAAAGGGATTTTCCTGCTTTGAGGAATTTTTGGCACCACATCGAGGAGATTTTAGCCAGTTTCAAATACATTTCAGTAGTGCTATAATGACTATTAATTAAAATTTAAATAGAGAACTTTATTTTTGTGATCTGTTTTGTGAGGGTTTTATATACTCAAGCAGAATAAACTGCACATATTCCTGTCAGATGAGGTAACAGACTTGTGGCTTTGATCATGCTTCCTGTTGTGGAGTCACTCCTACAAAGACTATTCTGAACCCGGAAAAACCCTGTTACATATTAACCACAAACATGAAGGGACTCTTTGAAATATTCAAGCTGGCAACGGGCAACAAAATGAAACTAAACAGAATGATATCTGAACTAATCGAGGCCTACAGCAGTCTTTTTAGCAACTTGAGCAGCAGTGATCAGCCACCACCAGCCGGATTCAGTCTGAAAATCTCAACGACGACTGAATGGACGGCCATAAAAGTCTAATGATGCACTGACTGTCAGAATTTTAGGCTTTTCAATACTATTTATGATCAAAAAACTGTGAGCGGTATGACACTCCCATCAGCTCCAGCTTAACAGACAAACTTAGCAAATCTTAACATTGCGAAAATTTTACCTGCTCGTCGTCAGCATACAGACACATCGAGGTCAAAGCACCACTGTGTGGAAGCACTGCCCCTAGAAAGCTGCCAGCGAGGCTGTACACTCTTTTTCTGTTAACACACTTCACTAACATGCTGTATTTTGTTGCAAGACTATAGGCAATATCATCAAAAAGCTATAAAGAAAATGAATCTAAATGTAGAAAGTCTAAGTTTACTAGAAATGTCTTATGTCATATTGTTAATTTTACATAAAAATGCGACTAAAATGTTTAAACAAGGCTTAAAAATAGTTTTTTGCTTTGGTCTGTCTGTGTTTTAACAGAAAAATATTAAATATGTCAACTTGAGTAAAGGTTTTTTGATTAGTATGTTTTTAGAGCTTTTAATCATGTACAATATCCCATTCTGGGTATGTTTTATTTATTGTTAACATTATAATTATCTATGTTGTCCTTCTCTTTGGGATGGTTTCTTTTAGACAGAGTTTTCATAGACAGATATTTATTATCACCCTTGGCCAGTGTGATGACTATTTTTAAACATATTGACCTTAAGATGAGTTGACTGGAATTTCAATGTCCATTGAAACACATTTTGTGTGTAAATGTACCTTTAAGAACTTTAAATCCTCTGCTCTCAGTGCTGCCTCAGTGTCACTGATGGTTGTGGAGAGAGTTTGGATCTTGTCTTTGATGTCTTCCAGCTTCTTGTACATCACCTGGGTCTTTGTTTCCTCCTCCTGTTTGAGCACCTTCAGTCTACTTTTTTCCTCCTCCCAAAGGAACTGGTGGAGTTTCTCGAACTCCGCCTTGATTGCTGTCTCATTCTGATACGCTTGTGTCTGTGATATGAAGGAAGCTGGTTATTTACAGCAGTAATCAAAGCGAATGTGTCATGCTGAGGGATTGTCGCAGTGAGCTGGAAATGTGACACTAAGATTCTGCGTCAAGATGCCAGAAAAGTGAAATTTAAGTGAGAGAAGGTGCAAGAAAACCAATAAACTACATAAAAACGTTTACCTGAATGTAGGTTTTCGTTTCCTCCCATTGCGCCTTTGTCTTGTTCAGTATTCTGAGTTTTTTTCTCAAGGACTCCAACATGGTGGAAATTTCTATCTGAAATGTTCAAAGAAGAATTAATGAGTTGAAATCTAGAGTTGAAACACATCAGTTTTCTATTCTAATTCAACATTTTACCAACATAATTATTAATTTAGAGAACAACTGGCATGTTAACTGATGATAGAAACAGTCATGACTTAAAACCACATAAAAAATCCTTCTACAAAGCTATAAATAGCAGATAGTAGAATTGTCTTCCTTGTGTTGTGGTGTGCCACCAACCCCACTGCCTGTGATTTTGTTTCCGAGTTTCTGTTTTCACTTTACCTTTTTCTGGTGAGCAGCTTCCTCCACCGGGCAGCACTCGTGCACTTTATGCTGCTTTGATATTTGGCAGATGAGGCAGATGGGCTCCTCGTCATTTTTACAGAAGACCTTCAGCTTCTCGTTGTGAATAAAACAAACTTCTTCATTCCCGCTGGTCCTTCGCTCTTGATAGTCATCTGCAGCTATCTTTAGTGCCAAATTGATAGGAGGCCTCCCGGGGACAGACATGGTGCCACACACAGGACATTCTCGACATCCTTTCCATTCCCAGAATTTGTGCAAACAAACTCTGCAGATATTGTGGCCGCACTTTAAAAGAACAGGAACACAATAAATCTCCGAGCATTGAGGACAAACTAAATCGTCCACAGAGATCGAAGCGGTTGCTGCCATCAGGTTGAAGAAGTTCCTGTAAAGTGAAGTCATGCTCTTCAGGTGCAGTCACTGTAGGCGGAACAACTGGGAATCTTCAGTAAAAGCTGGCCAACAAGTAGGACAGGTTAAATAGTATTTACAGGCAGCACTGCAGCTATGACTTTCAGGTTTGAAAATTAGCTTCAAAAACAATTGTAAACCCTTTTAAGTTCACAAAACAACACTTACGTTCACTTTCAGTGCACTTTATTTTCCATAATGAAACGTTTCCACATTCGACACAGTAACATGGTTTGACTAAATGCATAAATATATTAACAATGCATTTTAGTCAGACTCTAAATCAAATAAATCACGGTTATATCAACATGACGTCTAGAAAAACAATACAAATCTACATGTATTTAAATGTTGTGGTATTACTGCATGTATCCTCAAAGCTCGGAGGCAAAAACAGAGGTAGTTTAAACTGTTAGAGATGAGTGGCTGTGCTGTCAGTAAAGTCGTTTCTTTGCCCTAGAACCAAGAATAAGCTGCAAATGATATCTCCGCTTTACGCTGACTGTGCTGCAGGTAAACAGACAGTGAAAACCTCAAACAAGAGTCAGATGGCTGTCGAGAAGTGAGGTCAAGTAACGTTCTTAAAATGAGAAATATAAGTGCTTGTGCAGTAAAAGCAAACTCGTTGGCGTCTCTCCTCTCACGCTGCTCACATTTTGTACGGACAGAGACGACCAAAGATCAATTTAGAGCTACAGTATTGTGTTAACTCCTAAAGTTTGCTAAATTTTTACCTCTTTGCTTCAACTAAGAATGTTTTCAAATGACATTTTGTTAACGTACTACTGAGAACTTCTTCTGTTTTCACTTCATGAATATCTCCCATTCAAGTCAAGGAGAGCAACTGGACAAACTACAAGCACAGTCTTAAAAAGAAATTTAGCAAAAAGGAGCTTTTGATGTTTTTACTATATATAAGAAAACTTCCCCAACTCACAATATGTCTAAAACTGAATAATTTATGAGGAATATGAATGATAAAAGACACTGAATATTAAGAAATACTACAATAAACAACTGAAATAAGTAAATACGCAGTTACATGGACTCGTGATCGTGATCTAATCCTGTTGCACGGCATTGTTAATAAAACATGCAACCACTCATTGATATGATAGCTCAGTTTTTCAAGCTTTCTCCTTCAAAATCGCCTTAAAATGACAATGCCGCTGCAAGTAAATAACCTTAACGTGACCGCTGACATAATCTTACCGGTGAATTCATATTTACAAGTAGCTACAAATACACTACGTTAAAACATACCGTATGCGTCTCCCCTAAATAATTGTGTATAAGTGTGTGATTGGTCAAAGATCCTTTCCCAATAGGTTTCCTTCTCAACTTGTTCTTAAACTGCAACAACATAATGTCGATATCAGAGTTAAGAGTAAAACATTCGCAGAAATGAAAAGAAAAGGAATTTCTGTTAACACAATGTGTGTTGATCCTGCTCCTTAATCTCTGTGAATAAGGAAAGAAGAAGAAGAAAAAAAAAAAAAAAAACAGCTGCATGTACCTGTTTTGTAAAGACATACTAGTTTTTGAATGGTTAAGAGATTTTAGTTTGTTTTAGGTTTTACAAAACATCTCAAATAAATCAAACTTTTCAAACAAATTAACATGAGAATAGTATGTACATGAATACAGTAATAAATATAATATGAATGAAATCAGGTAAATTCAGAAATGGCTCAACTGTTGAGTAAAGAACACTGGATGTGGTGTAAAAAGTCGAGTTTGAATAACGAGCTGTGTCACTAAGACACCACTGAATTCCTCTTCCAAACATCATTCCATTTCACTTTTACCAAACAATTCTAAAGCATAAAATAGCCAATACACTAAGTTATAAATGTTCTTCGGAAGGTCCGTATCCTATTTAAATGCTGCATCAAATAGCCAGTCATCAGAGACGATGGAGGCTCTTCAGCTTATCTTGAAATGTAACACTGCCAGTAATATCTCCTCTGTCAGCTTCAGACTGATGTCTAAATACGATGGAGGCCTTGATCGCGTCCTCTGAGCCGCGCTCTGGGACGCCCTGGGATCAGTTCAGCATCCTCTGCGCAGAGCAGCGAATTGTTACTCCCTCAAACACCTTCAGCACATCCTGAGGCTGCCTGCTTCTCTCAGATCAGTCAGGAGCCTGTGAGGCATCATGCTGTGTCTGCAGATCCAACGCACAAAACACAGTCTCACAATCACACAAATCCAGGCTTCATGGAGGACTTGAAGCATTTGGGACAACCCTTTGTCCCGTTTGTCTGCAGACACCTGAAAGGAGGGGAAAAAAACAGAAATGTCACTGGCTTTTTCTATTGGCTTGTAAACATGACTTATTCACATGTTGACCTGCGTCTTTGGCTATTCACCAGCGTGAGTAAAGTTACAGTGGACACTTCTTTATTAGTTATGTGTGATGAAAATCTAATTTACAGTCAACAGCTTGAGGTTTTTCTGAAATGTAGCTAATAACAGACCAGACTAGGCTTTGAATAAACACCCACTTGAGATGGAAAATGTGGGAACAGGGTAAGGCCTGCAGTTTTTGGTCCCTGTCCCCGATGGACTCTCCACACATGCCGCAGTAGAGCTCCAGCTCCTCGACGCACTGCAGGAACTTCACCACCTGCTCTCTGAGCTCCTCCTCCTGCCCCTGGCTTCGGTAGATCCCCTCACTCAGGCAGTGAACCTTCAGCGTGCACAGCTTATACACAGGAAACATACTGTGAGCGTGACAGGTAGACTGAGTGTGTTGTTATACCAGCAGGACGTGCTCATGGTTTGATCTATTGATTATTTAGTAACTGTTTACTGTCTATAACATTCTCTATAGTCTTCAGATGTCTTATTTTTTTTAAAACACACAACCAAAAACCCACAGATACTTGGTTTACAATCATGCATGAAAGAAAAAAACATGTCATTTTCTTGTTTATTATATCTAATATAGGTTACCTTGTTTCCCATTCCGTCTGCCAGTTCCTGTGCTCGCTGCAAAGAATCAAGAGCCTGGAAAATAAACAGGAGTCCACATAAGTACCTGTTAACATAAAAAATTATGCCAGTTGTATTTTATGTGATGTATAATATTTGTAAGGACCTTGTCAAACTCTTTCTGCAGAAGCCAACACTTTGCGACTCCCAGATAGACGTGTGCTTGTCCAAGACGGTTTCCGATCTCAGTCATGATACCCAGAGCAGACTCATAACGAGGGAATGCTTTCTGAATGGATAAAGAGAAATACAGAAATATCATTTTAGCTGTCGGCCAAAAAAAACTAAACATTAGCACTTTGAAAAAGCAAGAGTACAAAGCAAAGGCTAAATGCATCTTTAAAGACCAGTTTTGATAAGTTTGTACTAATATGGACGTATTAATGGCCCCTTACATCAACGTCATGCCTGCAGCGGTGTATGTCCGCAAAGTTTAGTAAGCACAGAGCCTGCAGGGGCCGGTCTCCGTGCTGCAGAGCAATTTTCATAGATTCCTGTGGAAGCACAAGACGGAGGATTTAATGACATAAAAACAAGACATTAGAGGAAAGTCCAACCTCTGCAGAAATCTAATTCGAAACATGACTTTGAATTTGGTTTATTATTAGCATTTTGTTTACAGTGCAGCACGACACTGTACAGAACTGAAATGTATGACGTGTTTATAAGGTATTTTAGTGTAAAAGTTAGTTTACAATCCCAAACAGGCCACATCTGTGTAAACTACAGTGTTGTGAATTTATCATTTCTGTTTTGCATTTTTCAGTATCAGCTTACATTCAAATAACCCCACAGAGAAAAGCAAGAGGGAATGTGACACGCTGTTGTTTCACCTTTCGGACTCCTCTTGTGCTCTGGTATTCTGAATATGACAGGATGTGTAAATTGTTTGGCTAAAAGCGTTTGGCAAATGTAATAAATCTGAAATGCATCCTGCTGTCTTGTTACTATAATTTTACGCTCCAAGGCAATGACATCAAGTTATTTTTCACCCTGGGTACATAATTAGAACAGAGCGAAGACTAAAGCCACCCTCTTCATTAACACTTTAAACCAGCGCCTCTGTGAGCATATTTTTGTCGAGGTCTGAGGCCTCGTACAACAGAACAACTGCGCGCCTGCACCTGTCGGCAGCACAGCATCTACTGTATCTGCAGCCCCCGACATCAGAGCAGCCAAAGGCGTCGGGGGACAGCGAGTCGGCGAGGAAACCAAAACTGTGACATTCTCCAAGTTATGTAAGTCTGTCTCCGAGGACGGTAATGATGACAGTTATAAAACAATACCTCACAGCACTCCATGGCGTCTGGCAGGCGCTCCAGCTTCCTGTAGGCTACAGACATGTGGTACTGGCTCATGGCTCGATACTTGAGGCTCCAGCCTTTGCCGTAGTCATTGACAAGCTCAGCTGCTTTGCAGGGGAAGAACAGGGCTTTCTCATAGTCCTGTTGGCAGACGTGAACAACAAGTCAGACCTCGGTGTCCAGTTATTCCCTACAAATGGCAGCATGTCCTATTTAGATACCACTAACATCAGCGGTTTGGTTTTCCTGTATCACTTTAAAGCACGTAATATTTTTTCGTTTCACAAAATAACGTGACATATGAGTGCATTCCTCAAACACCACTTCATCCCAGTCCCATTGAAACCAATCCTCCCTGGGAAGCCGGGGGGATTACACTTACAAATCTCTGATGTCAAGGGTACTACATAACGCCCGTACCAGCCAGCCTCCTCACTCCGCCCTTGTTTTACAATGGCCAGAACTGCACGAGCTAACCGTTGATGATGTTTGCTCGGATGCTCTGCAGTGTTACCATACTCTAAATACGCTGGCAAAGTGTTGATTGTGCAATCAAGTCGCACGTGCAGTCCAGGGAATGTTTTACCCAACTAGCATAGCTGAGAGGTCAAAGAGTTTTAACATCTCTTGCTCAGTCTCATTGCTTATAATGTCTCAAACAAAAGTCCTCTTCTTTTAAATTCAGTCAGAAATAACACTGAGCAAGTACTGAGATTCAATGTTTTCAGCGCAGCACATATTAGGATCATCAAAGTCCAGCTTTCTGTTGACGTGATGCATTCAAATCATTCAGTTAAATGAGCAGTGCATGGAGTACCTTCAGGTTTACATAGATGTTTCCCAGACTGCAGCAGACTCTGCACTCCAGCATCTTGTCGTCGTTGTTGTGTGCGTAGCGCAGGGCCTTCTCGTAGCTCTCCAGTGCTTTCTGGAAGACACTGAGGCCCAGGAAGGCATTCCCCAAGCTTAGACATACCTGGCCGTTGAGCTGCAGGCTCACAGTGGTACCCTGCATGTTTAAGCAAGTCTTACAGTACGACACCGTCTTCTGGAAGTCGCACAGCTTCTCATTGCTGCGCGCCAAGTTCAGGTAGCCCTCCGTCAGGTAGTCCGGGTCTTCCATTTCTCTGGCTGTGTCAATTTGATCAAGGGCATACTGCAGAAAGAGAGGCAGAGTAAGGAGATCAAAGGTGCAGGCAAATAGTCAGATGGATATTCTTAAATTCAGGTAGATATAATTAAAAAAAGAAAACTATCCGATTAATGTATTTAGACATAAAGCCCAGACTTTAAAAAGAAGCCCTCATTAAAACTGTGTAAGTGAGAGTGGGTGCTGTTTGAGTAAGGATGATTTTGTCAACAAGACACCCCACACTGATACTTAGGTTGCAGGGCACTTATTTACTCTGCATCGTGTGGAAGCCACAAATTAACCCATGATTCTCAGGATCGCTGTACATGGAAGAAGGTAACCTTCAACCTCTTCTCATTCAATAATTGCTGAGACATTGTGGAAATGTTCTGTTCTACTACAGCAGGAACTGTAGCAGTGCTGAGCAGACACGATGACATAAAAAATGATCAGTGACATTCACTAACCGATTTGCAACCACACACACACCTACTGCTGGTTACATAACACAAAATATGATCACACAGCACATGAATGAGCCAAATCAACTGATTACCAGGCTGTTTAGATTGAGAATAACACTTGTAGAAACTTTAATACAGGCATAAACTAACATCGTCCAAGTACATGTTGTCCCAAAATGATCGCTTTAAAGAGGTACCATAGTAAACTCATAAAAGGTGTATGAAGGTATTGCTGTAGCACGCTGCTGTTGTGGACGCTTACCTTGAGCATATCTTTGTATTTTCCCATTTCTGAGTGAGCTGTGATCAGGCACCCAAGCACCCGAAACTTCCCGCCAGGATCTGAGGTCTTTTCCAGTACTTTTGTCCACACATGCAGGGCTTTGTCTGTCTGATTGGACTGGTACAACCTCAGGCCCTTCTCTATCTGCTGCTTGGTTTGGTCCTGGCCCATCTCTGGTGCAAGGCGCCTCATAAAAATATTCATTCGTTTAGGCCATGCAATTTCAGTGAGGCAGCAAGAAAGTAGATCCTTGCCGTGCACAGTACAACTCCAAAGAAGATCCCTTGAAGATGATCCTCTGAGAGGTCGCTGCCAGAAGGCCTACCAGATCCCGCTCTCTCAGCTCCGGCTGTGCTGAGACGGAAAGGAAACTGGATCCACCGAAGTAAAACGGCGACACACCAAGACCATTATCACCATATGCTTCGTGGAGAGCTGGAGGCCCGAGGAAATGTCTTCCACGTTTAACCACGCAATGATCCCCTCTCACCATCAAGTGTTCAGAAATTCTCCGTCAGATTTCCGTTTGAAAAACGTCAAAGAAACACGTTTCCCGGCTGAGTGCTAGCACCGATATCCCAGAATATCTACTCCCTCCACACCCCAGCGAAAGGAATTCTCAGCACCCCTGTGTCCAACCCCCTCCACCTTCCTCCTACTGCTGGCGCTACAGCAGATGGCCTTGTCACTCTAGACCATGTGTCCCTTCAGGAATTATGTTCTGCCCTCAGCAAACAGTCCCAAGGTCACTATAGCTCCTAGCGATCTACCTTCACACTAAACCCTACTCACTGACCAGCACTGGACTGCAAGTTTTCACAGCACAAACCTCTGGAGCGTTAAAAACACTCATCCACAACAGGATCTGACCAGAGTTTCGCGTGTGCAGCTGTGGACTGCGATTTGGCAGCTATAGGCAGCTTTAATTCCAAACATTACAGAACTGCAAGTGAGACGGTGCTCGTAGTGGCCATCAGTTCCTATTGGAAGTCCTTATGGAGGCGCATATGTGCCCCCAGCAACCCCCACCCCTCATCTCGGCGTCAGCAACTGATGCTTAGAATAGTTCACAAAGTCTGACATGTTACTGGGCTTGGGTTTCAGCGGCGCAGCCTCCTGCAGCACATCAATGGGATCAAAGTTTTAGCCTCTCTGTAGTGGCTTTCTCTCCTTCAATTTCCCTTTTCCACCCCCAAGGACAGAAACACGCACATTTACCACCTCCACCGTCTACACCAGCGGTACCAACTCAAAGACCGGTACTGGTAGAAGTTATGTCTTTGTTGAGGGAAAGTTTTCAGTAGCGGCGCAGCAACATAGTGGACCACTTCTAAATGCATCACTGCATAACTGCAACAATGAAAGATCCAAAAATTCCTGGTAGTAAACACAGTATTATTAGTAAGAGATAGTTAATGCATAAAGGCTAAAGGGCCATAAATATCAAAACAAACAGTGACAGCTTGTAGCTACAGTGATATATTTGACATTTCAGTTAACAGCTTTACATGAACATGTACAGTGTACATCAAAAAATACAATCTTAAGACAAGAAATTGTGAAAAAATTGAAAAGTTAGAAAACATCCTCTGTTATGTTTATGCACGATGACTTAAAATCTGGCATCTGAAGACATTCAACCTACAACATCATGACACACTTAATCACTTACAATATACTGAAGGATGTTTTGTGTTCAGTAGATTTTTTTTTTACACTGAAGCTGTTCATGCATGTCAATAAACAAGCAGTGCACAGGAAACAACAGATTAGGTCACTGGATACAGCATCACCACAAATTGTTTGACTTGTCAGCTAAAGGATCCACAATGAGACACACTGTAATACAAGTGACACACGCCACGGAACGGTTACGAGGCTGGTGGTGAAGTCTGAATGGAATGAGTGACACAGCTGAGTAAATACATTTAGGGCAGGTCTCCTCACAGGATGTCTGAAGAGTGAAGTCATGGTAAGTTGTCCAACAGTCTTCCCTGATTGTCTATGGCGAGTGTCTGGACCACAGTGTGAACATCCAGAGGACGGGTTAGGCCAGAACAAACTGCCAGTTTGTCAGGAGGATTTTAATACCTCTGATAACGGAGACGACAGATGTGGCCGGGTTAAACTTTAACGTGTTCGCATCACCTTTCTTACATTTGTCCCTGAAGACGTATATACAACCGTTACAGCTCGCAACCTTCCACAGTGAAGGAACGCAGCTCCACACCTCAGGGAAGCGCAGGCGGGTGAAGCTTTCCAGCAGAGGGTTGTAGCACACCAGAGAGTCTCCTTCTGCTACAATAAAGATCACGTCCATGTGGACCGCTGCGTGCATGCAGCCGGCAAACGGCAGCATGTACGGTTTGATCTGGCACTTTTGGGAGGAGGTGTCGAAGCACTGAATGAGACGGGATGGTTTAGTGAAAAAGTCCATGTCGTTCTCCTCCCCGCCAAGCAGGTAGATGGTGCCTCCCAGGTTAACGCCAGCAGCCCCCGACACTGCAGTGTCCAGCTGGCTGGTCTCTGTCCACATGTTGTCCTTCACTGTGTAGTAGATGACGGCATTAGAGAGCGTGTCCTGCAACGTCTTACCTCCTAGCGAGTAGATAGCGTCCTCGGTGGAGACGGAGACCATGGTGTGGTGGAGGCGGTCTCTGGGCAGCGGGGCGCAGCGCTCCCAGTCCATGGTGTGCATGTTGCACTTCCACATGCGCCGGGGGATTGAACCCCCCACAACATACAGGTCTCCTCCGTGTTTACAGGCTGCAGTGATCTGATGGCATAAACTGTTCTGGCCGCTCACGCTGATGGCGTCATCCTCGTCACAGTGCAGTGACACCGCCAGGGAGTGAGTCCTCGTCTCCTCTTTGCCAATCAGGTAAATGTGGACATTCTCACCAATTTCCTGTAGACATAGAAGATAAAGAGACATCACAGATAAATGTTATACAACAATGTCCTCTTTAAAAACATTTCTTGGCTCTGCATGAACAAATATTACCTTTAGATTCTCTTGAAGGATACAGGAGAACTCCTCCCTCTCAACCTTGTTGTGGTTTATCCAGGACTCGATGGCCACGGTTGGATTCTGGGAGCTTGGAACGCCATCTGAACACAAACACAAGGCCTTTCAAATCAAATTCACTACAAATTAATTAAAAATGTGCTTTGATTGCTTTTGCATTTTTAGAATATTTAAAAACAAAAAAATGCAAAAGACTTTCCAACAAATACCAAAGTTTCTGTGGTTTATTTTTGCAAGGATTTGTATGGTAAAGAAAGAAACAAAGATCAGACACAGCGTACACACGACTACTTCCAAGACCCTCCTGTCTTTCATATTTCAAAACAAAAAACAAACAAAAAAAGATTTTGTGGAAGCAGGATGAAAATACATTTAAACACCTATAAAAGAAGTGTCACTTGGAAAAGATATAACCATTATAGAAATACATGATTTGAATTAAATTAGCTCAAATATTTAAAACCTCTGGTACATCTGCAACATGTTGACAAGATACAAAACTGTAATACCTTTGATGATGTCCAAGAGCAGACAGAGAGGCAGATTCAGAAACTCTTCAGTCTGGTGCAGCTGAGCCAGGTGGATTTTAGCACAGTGCTTGGCTGCAGTATACAGCTCCTGATCACTGTGTCTGTCTGCAAGCCACATCACCTGGACACAAAAAATAACACTGATGCAGCATAATGACTGCTAAAAATAAGACTGTTAGATCTGTGAAAAACAGTAAGTCACCTGCAAGCAGTTCTTGACCTCTACAGTTCGCGAGAGGAAGCGGGAGCATTCTTCAAACAGAGCAGTCAGCTGGTACATGTCGGCCATCTCATAGGTGTCCTGCAGCTCCTCCACCCTCAGCTTAATCGTACCGTGGTAGATGTAGTCAACCAGCAGCTGAAAGACAGTGGCGCTGACGTCCTTCAGTTCAATGGCGCGGTTGTGGGACTCTTTGAGGTTGGACGTGAACATTGAGCGGAAGAAGCTGCTCTGTGCAGAGAGCACCAGCCGATGCAGGTGAAACTCTTTGCCGTCCACAGTGATGGTGACGTCAGCGAACAGGCCGTCCTCCAGACACAGATCCATGATGCTCTTCACCACTCGGCTCGAGTGGGAGCGGTCGGTGAACGTGTACCCCAGGAAGTAGTTCTCTTCTCCCACAGAGCCCCCAACGCTGAGGCCGCCCTCCTCGCTGGACTCCATCTTTGCTGCTCGCCTTATTGAAAGTCAACAAAAACCATTGTCATGGTTGTACTCAGAAGCCATTTTATAAGCTACATACACAAAACCAATATAAATATAATATAATATGATCTTTGGACGTAATTATTAGACAACTGTGACCACAAAAATTGTAATTGATATCACATGTTTACTATACATGTACAGCTCATGACCACCAAAGATGTTTTGGCACATCCAATGTGAATTTTGAAATGTTTCTTTCCAGTACATCATGCTTTAAAAAACACTTTATTTACAAGAGCTTTCTTTGTGTGTTTTAAAATGTAATGTAATTATTCAACCACTATGTTGAAATGTAAACAACACTATCAATGCTAAAGACCTGTTGGTAGATTTTGTTAGGAAAATTGCAGGTAGTCTAATGGTTAGTAAATAGTAATAGTTTCCAAATTACCTCTAACATCATAGTTTTTTTATACCATAATTCAGTGGCCATGAGGGCGTGTAAGTTGCAGCACAGAGGCAGCTGTTGACATTAAATGAACTGATGAAGCATTTTGGTTATTGTGACGAGTGATAGCAGTGAAGGGGCTGGGACGGTTTTTGACACAAGGTCTGAATGTTGTCTGATAATTTTTTTTTTTTTTTTAACTCTATTTGAACTAGAACAAGCATGGCACCAGACAAACTACAAACGATAGCTCACAGAGGCTGCTTACAGCTGCCGAGTGGCTCCGCTAACGCTAACGCTAGCTGTGTTGTGTTTACGGTGATTAGCAACCGTTAGCTTCACAGCAGCTAGCTGGCTAACGCGCCCTCGTGTGCAGTTTCAGCGGTCAAACTGATGAGGTATTTATTTCTACGATTGTCAGTCAGACAAAACAACCGTAACGCTTTAAAGGCGACAAATAAACAAGGGTGGTTACCTTTATCGCCACTACTTTATCATTCAGAAGCAGCTGAACTGTTGACAAGGAAGTAAATCAACTTTTTCAGGGAGTAGCTGAACTGATTCACCGCCACTAGCCGGCGGTGCTGCCTCCATGTGGCGGAGCGGTGGTACTGCAGCTCCTCGCTACAATATGGGACACACTCAAGATGTTATTTGAAATACAGTCGTCCTCAAATGTATTCATACCCTTCCATTAAAGATAATGAAAAATTTACAATAGTCACTCAAATAACTACAAAACTGAAAAAAGTAATAATACATTTTAAAAAACACTAAATTATAATTTAGTGATATAATACATTGATTTTGAATTGTGGTTGAAAAAAACAAACAAAACTGTCCCAGACAAATTAGAGCACTTTGCTAATGAGCCTTGGGCCAAAATCAAAATACCTGTCAACAGGTGCAGAAGTCTGATTGAGAGTTACAGAAAACACTTGTTTGCAGTGATTGATAAAACTAAATATTAGTTTACAGGTCCCATCATGCTTGTTTGCTTGTTTGTTTGTTTGTTTTAATATTTCAGTTGAACTTCAATTCAAAAGCAATGTCATGATTTTCCTAAAATTTGTATTTATTATTCATTTTGTCAATTTCAACTTGTTTATTTCCTTCTTTTCCTTCTTTTCCTTCTTTAATGGGAGGGTATGAATACATTTGAGGACGACTGTACATGAGCAAATATGTGACAGCTTAAATGGAAAGTGGTTAGATGGTTAGTTACATAAGTAGTGACTCCATGGAATGCTGCAATTAAAAAAAATATATATACTGAGCAGAAATATAAAAGCAGAATTAAAGTCATCTTTGTTTTCTCACTTAAAGAAAACAATCATTTCTAATATACCGGTAAGAAAACAGTTCAATTCAGCCAACTGTGTCCAAAAAAATGTTTGAGCTGTTATTAATAAGTATATAATTATCAACACCCTAATCAGTCGTGGCTAGGACAATTATCTGTAACCACCTTAAAATGCAGCTATATTTAAATGACATGATGCCACAGTTGATAAAAGAAAGATGAGAACGGACTGTTGGCCTGCCGGATGCTGACATGTCAGTTAAGGTTGCAGCCATCTGAATGTCCCCAACTCCATCATTCATCTGTCATCTAAAAAGTAATTTCAGACAGTGTGGTATGACAGACAGTCTACCACACAACACTCTGGATGGACGTGTCTGATGACATGATTTTGTCTCTCAAAATGTCCACCAACCTTAAGACAAGGGACAGTGTTCCACAAGCCTCAGTAACTCTATGTGTTGCAAGCTCACCCCACTCTCCATCATCTCCAATACAGTCTTACTTGGTTGTTTCATAAGGTTCATTCTAGTGTAGAGATGCAGCATACTGATCTTGTTCCTCTTTGCTAAAAATAATGGCTAGAATTATTTTTTTTAAAAACAAACAAACATGCTGCCTTTATACTTTTGTAGTACAGTTAAATCATACCTTTGCTACATATTTCTAGTTACAAATACTTACAAGTGAAGCCCCAAACTTGCAAAATTTTCTTGATGTGGAGAGGAGGGTCCCCTCACCTTTAACTTGTCATGATTTCATGGATGTTTGCTGAGTAACATTTTGCATTGCATTGGGAAATGTATTTAAAGATAATGAAATGAAAAACAGTGAAAAGAAGCCGTAAACTAAAAGGATTTCATGCTGTGGATACAAAAATCCTGTTTCCCAAACTATTAAGCTTTCTGCTCTGTATCACAGCCAACTGGCTTTTGGTCCCGTTTTCCAAGGTGGAAGAATTCATGGTATTCAGCTGAGGTCGGTCTCTGCCTGAAGTCACAAAAGTGTACGAGGGAGAGCGGAGATGAGAGGGATGTGGCGTATTATCTGTCCGTAATAATCAAACGAGGAATGATCATGAGTAAAATCTTTCTTCAGGTGATTTTGTGGCTTTGGTTTGAGCAAGTGATAAAGGGTGAGTAAAAAACAGAAGATCTGCTAACTTGGCTGTGTTCAGGACAAAAGTTTTGATTGTAGTGACAAGATGATTGTGCATGCATGGTGCAAAATGCATTAAAAATAGCAAAACAGGTGCTGAGTAAAAGTGTACTGACATTTTATCTGCAGGGACTCATGTAAATGTTTGAGTTGAATGCTGATATTTTCTTCTTTAGATGTGGCTGCAGGCACAACTCCTAATTCTCAAACAGCTGTCTCTTCAGTCTCTGATGCAAACCTGATGTTTGAGGTGTGTTCAGAGCTTTAGTTATTTCAAGTCTTCATCCAGACAATTTAAATTCCGTGCTGCTTTTCTTTGCAGAATAAGTAATAGATCCTTGTTTCTCTGTTGTTTGCAGCTCCTGCTGGGCGGGGTGGAGATCGACCAGGACAACAACATCGCCCTGCTTGACAAGGAGATGGCATCGATGAGGCAGGGGCGGACTTTCCTGTCTCAGATCAACGATAACATTCCCAGAAGTCGGAGCTCCATGGAGCAGATGGTGCGGACTCTGGAGGATCAGAGGAGGAAGCCACTGACTCAGGTCCAGTTTGAGAACCTCATCCTGAGCCTGGTGTATTCCGCTTATCAGGCCAAGCATCAGGAGAGAAAAGAGGAACAGGAGGCCTGGGGTGGAGTCCTCCTGCAGCTGGCAAACGTCACGGTGCACGAACTACGTGGAAGTTATCTCTTCAATTATGCTTAATGCACACACTACCATTCTGTTTCAAATGAAAGGTGTATGCAATAAATCATTTGGCTTAAGTCTTACTGTAATGTGCATTTATAACTAATTGCATGTGTGGTCAAAGGTTTGCCAAAGCTTCAACCATGTATGAATGAATAGATTTATTATAGTTATACAGTGGAAAAGCTTCTGCAAGAACGTACACAGTGGTCAGGTTTATAAAAGATTATCTAAGACATTCGTGACACACGAAAACAATCCCTGAAGTTCACCTGAAAACATACAATAACAAAGAAATATATACACAAGGATGTTTTTAAGACCTTGGCTATTTTTCCAGTTCACTTCTTCCTCATTTGAGCTTGTTTTTGTTTAGAAGGGTCAGTCTTGGTCTTGGTTTTGGTTTTGGTCTCAGTTTCTTCCAGAGAAGCTAGTTTTTTCTTGAGCTTTGCATCCACAGCAGGCGCCTTCCGGTCCCTGTTGGAGCGCTGCTGACTCCTCCTCTGTCCTCTCACACTGTCCGCTGAGGTGGAGCTCTCCTGCTGCAGGTTGTGCCGATCACTGATCGGTGACTCGTTCCGGTCCCAGACTAGCACCGTTACACCTGGGAGTGAAAAAGACAAAGAGTTAATGACACACTTTCTCTTGAATTATGTGAATAACTACCACATCCATCAATAATGTGCTTCTGAGGAACTCACCCATGCCAGATCCAATCACATCACCCATCGGATTGAATTTGTTGATCTGTAAAAGCAGGATTTCAGGTCTTAATAGCTACAGTTTCAGTGTTGTGACATGTTTATGGTTTTAAGAAATGATACTCACAGATTTGATCCCCGCAGCAGTGGGATCGTACAGCTGACAGACGAGCTCTGCTGTGTTGGAGTCATAGATGTCGATGGTCCTCTGATCGCCGGTGCAAACCCGGTCATCGGGGTAACGCCCGGCCACAATGAGGTCATACACAGGATGCCACGTGGCCTACACAACAAATGGAACAGTGTCCTATTGTCATGAATGTCATCCTACCACAATAATTACATGAAATTAAATGAAATTTGCAAAAAAAATTTAACTCCATTTTGATGTTATTGGCAGAGCCTTACAGGCATTTGGATGTTCTCTCCAACCATGATAGTAAATGACTTTTTCCAGACACTGATGGTTGAAATGTAGATATTTCAGTCGTATAAATAGGTTGAAATTTAAATTGCACTTTAAATTGCAGTAAAAGGAAGCAGGGGTTTCCTACGTCAGATGACAATCCTGGCTCTGCTTGGCTTCTTTTGCAGGTTGTCCTGTACTTAAATGTGCAGCACATTTCAATTTAAAAAAAAAAAAAAACAAGCGCATCAACATGGCAACACGTGCTGCTGTATTGTCGTAATGGGAAAAATGCTGACAGCTCTCAATTTGGACATGTTTGTGTTTGTGCTTCAAATGTAAAAAATCTGTTCTCCCCATCAGACTGATTGAAGTCATCATCTTTCAGGAAACATTTCCTCAGAACAAGTCAGAGGCTGTGTACAGATCTAGTGAGGAAACACACCTTGATGGGTGTGAGGTGCTGAAACTGTCGGTGCGGGTGCTGGATGATATGTTGAGGCTTCGACCAATCAGGAGACGAGTACACACGGATCTGGTCAAACTGATCTGTGGTGAGCAACTTGGAGCAGTCCAGTGGGTTGAAGTAGGCTGTGAGGAGACAAAAATAACAGCTTTGACTAAATGATTTAAGATTTGCTTTACATGTAGTGGTCAAAGCAGTGTAATGGTACATTTATAGTTCCCGCACGCGGTTTTAAAATAAGGACAAGATGGTTGCATCGCCTGTCATATTAAACACAGAAATACACAGAGCTCCTGTAAGGCTGAGATGGTTTTCCAGGATATCACAGCTAGTTGCAGACTGGGATTTCTGTGTCGGATTTCTGGAAAATCTAGATCTTCCTACTGTGTTTGTGCACTGTTAACAGAAAGCATGTAAATATAAATCAAAGGACCTTCACAATTCAGCAGTGACTATTTAAATATAACTCTTAAAGATGCATTAAAAAAGTGAGGATGACAGAGAATCTCCTCGTACAGTCTCTCCCCATAACAAGTATTTGTTGTGAGCACCATTTGTTTCCTGGTACATCTGCAGTTAGTGTGTCAGAATGATGACAACATTGATGTCCCATGGATGTTTGCAGACACACAGACATGGAAAGCATGAACTGGTCTACTTAAAAACGATGGCTAATATTATTTACATTTTCTATAAGCTTATTTGTCTTTTCAAGTTGCATGTAACAAATCCTGTATAGTGCAAATGTCCCAGGGCCTGTAAACTGCATAGGTTTCTAAAAACATTCTAAAACATT